GCTTTTGCCCTGAATTCAGTAAATACAGGGGGATTCACGGACACCGCCTGATTTGAAACTCAATAAAAAAAGAACTAGTAAAGATATCATTATAATATAAACTTTATTCAAATAGACATTGCCTACATTTTTGTATCACTAAGTTTTAAAGATGACCTCGGGCAAATGACAACCCCAGTTGTCATTTAATGAATTCAGTTAGACAATTTTTGAAGTTCCGTTCAACTCGCTGAAGCATATTGACGGGTATGTTTGCGATGGCTTGGCGTATATTGTTAGTCAAATGAGGTAGGGTCCTTCGGCAGTAGTTGTAAACAATTATTGATTTAAGATAATCTCATAAAAAATCACACACAGTCAAATCGGGGGATTGGGCCGGCCAAAGAAGGTCACCTCTTAAGGAGATGTGGCGCTCTGCAAAATATTGTCTCAGAAGATCCATTGAACATCGCGCTGTGTGGACCGTGGCTCCATCCTGTTGGTACCAGAGATCCCTGACATTCACTTCAGCCACTTTTGCCAAAATAGGCGTCAATCATTTGCGTGTACCGAGCTGCAGTCACCGTTACTACACGTTCATTTTCCTCAAAGAAATCAGGGTCAATTATGTTGACTTTTGACACCACACCACACAGTTACTCGTTCATAATGAAGTGGCCGCAGATGGAATTCACGCGGATTGTTATGACTCCAATAACGCACGTTTTGCTTGCTTATGCTGCCAGAAATGTGCAAGTGAGCCTTATCGCGAAAGAAAACGACTGCATCGTGAGGCATGATCTCAGGATGCCTAACAAGAATGTCAGAGAGTAATAAAAATTTTTCCGCTGAACGGTCATTAGAAAAGTACGCCTGAAAAGTACGCCTGAACGCACGCTGCTCACTTGTCCAATGCATAGTGGCAGCTGGCTAGGCGAGACACAAAACTTCATGACCTTGTTTTTCATACGAAATAAATTTCGCTCTTTTCCTTTCCCACTACATCTAGCTGCTCGGCGCGAAATACGAAACAGGAAGTTTCCGTGAATCATCTTGTATTTCCTGAAATCGGCTTGCCTTAACATTTGTATCATAATTAACAAAGAATTCATTGAAACACTCATAGAACTGAAATGAATTCGTTGAGAAATATATTACCTGTAAAAAAACATAAATCAGGAAACAGCTGAAGGATAATAATTATCCAAAAAATATTTATATAAAAATATTGTACTGCAAATGAAAATTATTAAAAATCAGTCCTAGGTATATTTTTTCCACAGAAAAATTTAAATTATTTTAGAGGCACTTTACACAAAAGGATTGTTTACGAACTTGAATCTTGTTTTTTTCGTTGTTTCAGAAATGTTTACCATAACACCGAAGAAATGATTATGTTCATCTGCATATATGGTTCTCGTAAAATTCCTTGTTTTCAAAGCATAAATTATTTGAACGAAACTTTCTTTTACAAGCGAATAATTGTTGGCTAAAACTGATAAACTGGAATATCAATGACAGTTTTAAGGAAACACAAGGAGAATACTTATTTGCGTATTGAGATATAATTTCGATCATGTGATTCATAAACATTGACCATAACTAATCATGATTGTAAATTATACGCTTGGTACTATACATCATCTAATACATTGTTCAGATGCGTAATACTGAATACTATTCAAGGAAGTTCCTTTTTTTGCAACATTTTCTCCACGTTAATAAGATCAAATGCGGCTACTCTTGTTAAACTAATCTTATCCGAAAGAATTAAAAAAATTAAATGATATACGAACAAGATTTTTTTACTGTAATTGAGGCCAAGAATCGTCATTTGCTCATGTTTCTAACGTATTTCTACCATCAAAACCAACAGAAGCGATGAACTGAAAAGTTTAAAACTACAGAAATCTTTCACCTGTAACAGTTTCCTCAGTCTAAACGTTCCCGGGAACAGAAATCTTGGTCGGTTTTCGGAGTCAGTCCATAATCGAGAGGTGGCGAAAGGAAGGTTCCAGTCTGTGATAGCACGCCTCATGTTCAGCCTGACGAACTTTCCAGCTCATAAAATTCTCTCCTGGACGCTGGCCTCTGCAACGGTCGATCATTCTTTCGCTCCTGTGATGTCCTTACCTCATTTTTCTTGCCTCCAAAATGCCTCTGAAACCGTAGCCCGTGTCTGTGAGCAGCCGTCAAAATCCGAGACTTCATTGACGCTTCCGGGATATTTGCTATGACGCTCGGGCCTAGGTTCCCTACGCGCTGGAATGTTCTTTATTTTAGTAGCTCGTTTATAATGATAGAATTCTTTAAGAAATTTTGATGTCTGTCAAAAATATCCTTCATTAAATGCAGTGATGAGCCAGAGATTTTGATGAGATTTTGAAATTTGTGTTCGATGCTCTTAATCTAATTGCATGATACTTCCAATCTATTGCATAAATATTGGTACAAAATTCGGTTGGCATTGGTATCATGCCGCGGCGTTTGACAGCAGTAAAAGCCCAAGCTATTTTTTTATACATGTTACGTATAGGCTCTGATTGGGTATTTTTTATTTAAGGGGACCGACCTAGCAAAACGAAAACTTCTACAGTTATTATCCGATTGTCATGAAACTTCACATACATACGTAAAAGGTAAAAATAAAAACATTTTGCTCCTATGTATTTTTCGAAAAAATTGATAGAAAACGTGAAATTCATAGAAAACGGCTAAAAAGGGGTACTTCAGAAAATCTATCTCCTCCCACAAATATCATCCTACAACATCGAGACACGTATCATTCGATTCTTAAAGTCTTCTTCCCCATATAAAAAACTAACCAGACCGAAATTCAAAAAAGTGATGTTAGAGTCGATAGGCCTGGTCTTTACGAATCGAACGGTATATGTCTCATTGCTGTAGCTTGAAAACTGTAGGAGGAGATAGGTTTTCCGTGACAGTAAGTTGAACTTTTCAAATTTTTCAGGACGGCGCGACAAAGTCCCGAGCGCCTCGAAATAGGCACTCAATGTAGCATAGATACCAAAGTACAGGCTTCTGTAGCTTAATCCACTCAAGGATGCTAGCAGCAACTTGTAGAGCACCTCTCCGTACGAAGTTAGGAGGGTGACTGAGCCCAGATGCCAGATACACCAAGATATGTGGTCTTGCCGCTGTATTTTTCTCTAGTCTATTTACTGAAGGAACTCCACCCCCCGCCCCCAAATAAAGGCGGGCCATCTGCGTCAATATAGCCGTACATAGATGGCAGTAGTATCGTTGGAAAGCTCAGAATGTCAGCTTTAATATGAGACTTAGCATGTAACTGCAGCACAACTCAAGTAGAAACTATATTCAAAGATTTCAGCAGCTAATTACTTTATATCTAATTTGTTAAAGAACTCTCTCACCCGCTTCCCTTTAAAGAGACGTCATGAACGTAAATATTCACGTAGAGAGATGGCAGTGGTACCATTGGAAAGAGCTGAATTCCAGCTTTCAGATGAGCACAAAAACCAAAAAACGCCAAAATTGACAATTTTAGCTAGGTCGGTCCCCTTAAGATTATATATAAGTTCAATCGGAAAATCATTAATATTACTACGATGATTACTACTTTAAATTGTTACTTCTTCCATCGTTACTTGGGCAGCCTGTTTATTTCACAGCATGCAAGCTCCATTATTACTATTGCATCGACAACTTACGACTATATAAAGTCGTAAGTTATAAGTTATATAAGTTATATAATTATAGTCGTAAGTTATAAGTAAGTTATAAAGACTATATATAAAAATTTATAACACGCTTTTTATTCCATTTAAATTTGATTGTATTTAGTTTTAGATAATTGCTAACAGTCAAAGGGTCATCCATCCCATCTCATATCACTTGACCGTTCGAAATACCTCGTGCCAGCATGAAAAGATTTTATGTATTTCATATTTTAAGGTTAAAAACAAATCAATATATCTGATGACAATTTATTTAGTGCAACGTAATTGCTTTTACTAGTGAGATTTTTTTGTATGGATAGTTTGGGATTGGGTTTGATGTGAGAAGCTAAATCTTTGTCGACATTCATTGGCTCGTTTCTCGCACCAGTCATCGAAAAGCGATCGTTGATCGTGATCGAAATTGTCATAAAAAAGTGATATCCCTGACGTTTATCTGAGTAGGGTGTTCTGTAATGTAAAAATAATTATGTAGGGTTAGCAAGCCAGTGATGGTCGTGGAACTACTTGTGGTATGGCATGATGTGGTACCTATTTGCCGCTATAAATACCTGGATGGTCAATTACAACAGCAACAACGTTTACTGTAGCGGGCCAGATATTGGCCTCGTTTTGTGTTCAAGGTTTCAAGCCGCCGTAATCACCGAAAGACGACTGGTGAAAAAAATAAACAAGTCGAACTGTCTTTGGAAGTAGTCTGACTCTTGTCGGGAGCCACTACATCATTACCATTATTGTGTCCATCATTGTTGTATTTCTAATGTAACGCATTTTTAACATTCTACGTCATCTGGACTACTCAAGTGTCATTGATTTCTGCAAGTCCCTAAAATAAACAACAGCCTGAACTTAATCTTTTGTCGCTTCAATCGTTTACGAACCTTAGGACCCGCTGTCAGAGACCTTGAAGGATTCAGATTTAATTCCTTCCCGGCTTGGCATCCTGGGCGACCGTCTCTGTAACTTCCCAAGTCTACATTAAGGAAGGGCGCTTGGCATCCTGGGCGACCGTCTCACATTGAAGGGTTTAGATGTAGTTCTTTCCCGCGAACCGGAGGACCCGCTGGCAGAGACATTGAAGGGTTTAGATGTAGTTCTTTCCCGCGAACCGTAGGACCCGCTGGCAGAAACATTGGATGGTTCAGATTTAGTTCCTTCTCGCGAACCGTTGGACCCGCTGGCAGAGACCTTGAAAGGATTCAGATGTAATTCCTTCCCGCGAACCGTTGGACCCGCTGGCAGAGACCTTGAAATGATTCAGATGTAGTTCCTTCCCTTTAAAGTACATGTACGTGCGTGCAGATCGGGTCCTGGAGCGACGTGTCAGGCTTCGAGCTCGCCAGCCACAAGCCGACCTATCGCGAGCCCCAACACAGAGGGCGGCCCTCCAGAGGCCGCAGCTACATCGTCACCAGCATACCTGTGAGTTGCTGCTACCTAATTTCAGTTACTAATTTGTTCATAATTCGATTTCCTTAATGAAAATATTTTTTGCACTTTCCAATAGGCAAAGTATAATTACTTTATTTGATTTCTTAACAGCTAACTTACTTTCTAGCACTTCTTACACTGCTTTTCATAGAAAAACTTGAGAATTATATTCGATTCCCTGCATAGAAAAAATTACGCCATTTTTATGGAGTTTTAAGGCTAAAAAGCTTAATTATTCTCTTTAATTTTTGTAAATTGGCCTAGACTTGTTTTTCGCAGTTGTCCTGGAACAAAAATCATCGATTCATACTCAACCCGCCGCAGTGTCCGCAGATTACGATTGTTATTTATATGTTATATTTATGTAAAGAAAGGTAAAAATAAAAATTAATGCGTAGTTAGCGTATGACGATGCCGGCGCTCATTCAGTACAGTACAGACGTTATGCGCATTCACTGCATCCCAATTTAATGCTTATGGCATAGATTGTTGGAATTTATTGTATAAAAGTTATTATGGTCATGAAATCCTTTGAAATGACATAACTTGTGCCGGAACATATTGCTTCTGAATTAAATAAGTAGGTTGTTAAAAACAATTTAAGTCTTAAATCAGAGATTTCGAATTAGAATAATTAATAATTAATTAGACTTGTCTTATGCATCTTAACTAGTGTAGATTTAAAACTCATTTTATTAGTGATATTCTTCCATGTATTTATTTCATGTAATATTTGATCACAAGAGTTTTGTATATTTCTCAAACCATCAGTTTATTTCTAATACTTTGCAATGTTTTTGAAAATTGTTTAATTTATTTGAAGTGTTTTCTTTGGGGGAACTTGAACTACAAAATCTGCTAAATTTTGCCGCTGTAAAATTTGTAGTCCACGAAGAAAGAATCGTTTTCTGCCTTGTCTCATGTTCATTTTCTATGACACAATTGCAGGAGAAACCCTTCTTGATGATACGTACGGACGGCAACTTCACGGGTAACGATCGTTTCGAGGGATACTGCAAGGATCTGGCAGATCTGCTAGCACATAAACTCAACATAACTTGTGAGTAATTCGACTGGAACAGCATTTCACTCGATGAACCCATAATTTGTTTTTACTTATGAGTTGTTGACATGAAGTCTCTTAGAATACAACTCACTTCATCATTCAGAGGAAGGTTCGGCAGCGCCGCCATCATGCGCCATGGCTGTGACGCACATCACTCATTTACAATTATTTATTGAAGTTTAATATTCAGTAAATGAGGAGTGCGTACTGAAATTCACGAGGGCTTCAATATTCAATAACTTTATAGATAAAATTAGAACTCGGTAAGTAAAGTGACCAAATTTGACAACGAAAAGTTCCCGGAAAAGGACATATTTTTACGTGCGCAACGGCGTGCTGGAAAAGATTTCAAGGACAATTCCTTTTGCGATACAATTTAACCTTGCCTCAATTTTTCCAAAAATTTTAGAGTGGTTCAATGATCGAAACCAATTGTTTGAGGATAGAGACTATTTTCCGTAATTTAAAATAAAGAGAACTCCATACATACAACAAAATGCAAAGATTTTGTTCGTTTACATAGGCAGGAATTTGAATATTGTAGTTATATTTACTGCACCTAAAATGTTCACTGGGTTGTTCTCTTATGACCGACACAAATAACATAAACCATAATTTGTCTTTACTGATGAGTTTACTGTGTATTTAATAATTTACACAAAACAAGTTTTTCGTTCTCAAATTTGGTCACTTTACTTTCTGAGTTCCAATTTTATCTATCAAGTTATTGAAATTCTCACGAATTTCAATGTGCACTGCGCATTTGCTGAATACTAAAATTCAATAAAACATTGTAAAACTTTGTAAAACTTCAATAAGACTTGATATTATGATCAGAATGAATCAATGATCGAAACCAATTGTTCGAGGATAGACACCCTTGCATGCAACGAAATACAAAGACATTGTACTAACAATGGCAGTTCTGTAATTTCTAAACGTGTTGTAGTATTTATTCCGAACAATTATTTCTCCTTGCGCCGCGATAATTAATTCGCTCTAAGGGTATTTACTTAAAGTTAATATGCCAACAATGATTTGCTCTTTGTTGCGAGTATTTGATTATTTACTTGAAACTTATTTTTGCCGAATATTTCATTTTGAGGCAGACTATGACGGTATACTTGATAGTCTTCGGTAGACTAAGACTAGCCTTCGATACGCTGTGGAAATAAAATATAATTTCAATTTTTAATGTTTTGATTGTGGGTATGTGATTTTCAAAATTAGATGAAAAATTATTGGATATAATATTTATTGTTGATTGCCTGGCTGCCATCGATTTGCGAAAAATTTGTACTAAAAACTCTGCGGTAAAGGCAACCAATATTCCATTTACTCGAGTGGGTCTGTGAACCCATGGGAGCAGGAATCATGTTTTATATTAATAATATAGGAGAATAATTCCCAAATTTTCGTATCCTATGATACTCCAAGTAGTTGTTTGTGTCTTGCACATTATGAATTTCTCTTTATCCAAATTTTCACCAGTGGCTGTCGTGATGCGAATTTTTTCCGCCTGTAGAATTAAAATGCTTATCATATCCCGCGAGACGATTGAAGTAACTTCATTTTAACGATAGAATCTTTGGAAGGACCTCGTCTCCTGCTGAGCGAGTGCCCTCGTTGCGTATGCCAGGATGGGTCGGTCCTGTACGATGAGCTCCTCAAAACTTACGAGCCGCCCAGCCAAGTTGTTTGGGCGGCGCCGTGCCTAGAATAGCTTACTGCGCCGACACTCCGCCGCGTCACCGCCGTGCATACGTCTTACTGCGCCGACACTCCGCCGCGCCACCGCCGTGCATACGTCTTACTGCGCCGACACTCCGCCGCGTCACCGCCGTGCCTGCATCTTACTGCGCCGAGACTCCGCCGCGTCACCGCCGTGCCTACATCTTACTGCGCCGAGACTCCGCCGCGTCACCGCCGTGCCTACATCTTACTGCGCCGACACTCCGCCGCGTTTCCGCCGTGCATACGTCTTACTGCGCCGACACTCCACCGCGTCCCCACCGTGCCTACGTCTTACTGCGCCGACACTTCGCCGCGCCACCGCCGTGCATACGTCATACTGCGCCGACACTCTGCCGCGCCACCGATCGTTGCGTCAATCTATTTTTTCTGCCTTGAAGCTCAGTGAGAAAGGAAGCTGTTTCTTTGTTTGATCCTTTACCTCAGTCGCAGTTATGGTCATTCTCCACGAGTCTAAAGTCCTGCACTCATGATCAGTCACCTACATTGTCATTTGACTCAATTATGTCAAACTGGCACAGGAGTGAATGAACTTATGGCTAATTAATTTCTGTTCTTCATTTATGACACAAAGGAAGTTCTTTCTGCAGATATCCAGAAAAAGTTGTTTGTTCAAATTCATTGTGATTGTACACGTAATTAATAACAAATCTGAAGAACATTTATCTAAACTTCTTGAATAAAGATCAAAAATTTAATTCCAAAATAGCAATATTTCAAGCGACAAGAGCTAGCACTAATATTTCATACTCAAATACCTAATTACAGGTGTTCTATCAAATTCTATAACAAATTATTGTCCAAATAGGTACCGGACATTTTTCATTTTGATGGGCCCGGTCATAATCAGACTTCAATCTTTTCCTGGCCTTTGGGCTTTGAGATAGCCTATGAATAACACCTTTAAACTTGCATTGAAAAATACAAGAATAGAATGCAGAAGCGGTAACATCCCTCAAAGCAAATAACTCTGAAACAATAATATTACGTATTTACTCTGACGAAATAACATTTAATCAACGTAATTTCAACGTAACATGACTGGTGGGATGCAAGTTACGGTCTGGGCGAGCTGAAAAATAAATGAGTGGAGCCTGCGTCGATGGCAGACGAATTCGGTGCAGTGTCGCCGTGACTCTTCAAAGTTAACTGAGCGACGCGGCGCGATAAGACTATTTTGAGGGAAGTTTTGGCGAGCAATTATCGAGCGAGGACGTGATTCGCTGCCTCCCATCAGGCCGCTCTAGTCAATGCAACTCAATCGAGCCTCGGACCCAATGGCAGCATCGCCTCGTTCAACTCAAACTCGAATTTCAGTTCAAAATAAAACTAATTTTAAAGAGAATAGAGAAATTATTGATGCCAGTTTTTGTGTCTTTAAATATAAGGGGAATTTTGAAAGTTATTTAAGCAATATAGAACTTGCTAATTAGAATCAAGCCCACTATTTACCGTTCTTTCGATACACCAAAAAGATGTCTGCAATAAAAAGTTTACAACGCTGGGAGGAGTAAAATGACTTTTTTATGATTTGTTGAAATTGGAAATCTAATTAGTTTCATTGTTGGCGGCATGCAGCGATTTTCTTGAATATTCATTACAAAAAAATTTACGGCTAACATCTTGTGTTTTACAAAACGTAAATCGAGCGGCCCTGAAAAATCTTTTTGATTATATCTCACAAAGCGACTTCGCGTTCTACCGATCCTGGTATTAGTGATTTTTTTGTCCAAATAATTTTGACCTTTTTGATTCACCGTAGATTCTAATCATTCTGTTGAACAGTGAGAAAATTCATTCCTTTCTGTCGTAAGAATAGTCAACTGGCATTCATTTATGACATGAGTGACAATTTTGTTTCTTTTCCTTGCCTCACATTTAAGCATTAACACGGTGCTTGCTGCTCTGATTGCAATCGTTATAATTATAGTGGCAACCATCCATTCTTGTTTCGATTAAAATGTGATCTACTGTAAACGAGCTCAATGAGTGGGTATACGAGCATTACTATCGCTAAATTGGCGTGAATCCTGCATTGCACAATCGGGGCCGTAAAATGAAATTAGATCTCATTTACGATGATATTGAGGTCGTAAAGTCCTTTCGATATTTGTGGTTGTTAAGGTATGCGCTGCAGGCAATATCGGTAACGGATAAGGAATACCTTGCTACAACCTGCCTGAAATATTTACTATATTTCAAATTTTCTGTAGGCAGTTAGATTTTCAATCAACTTTCTTTCGCTTGGTTGGAATTGTTTGGTGAACTACTTTTAAACTCATTATAAAATAAAACATTGATTAAATTCTAGAATTAAGCCAGTTGGATAATTTGTTCACAGCTTTTTTCTCTCTGTTATTTGTTCAATAATTTTTTGAATTTGAATTCACCATACAAGTATTATTTTTGAGCAGCACTTCCGACAAAATAATGTTGTTCAAAGTCACTGGCTAATTTACTGTTATTTATCCCATTGCACGCTATTGCCTAGAATAAAATATTTTATATTTTACAATAATAATATAGAATAATTTATGACTTAGAAACATAAGCTGCCATTTTGTTTAGCTGCATAATCTATTTTTATTGTAATCTTAAGTCAAACTTCCACAGTTGATCTTTTATTGTCAATAGCATGCCAACGTTTCTTGGTCTTATTTTCAGAACATTATCGTAGGAAATCGTTCCGGATCTGAGAAGTTTCTTTACGTTATTAACAATAACGTAGATCATTATTTGTGTTATTGTTGTTGTGAAAATCAGCCTCTAGAATTTTATGTTAAAATTAAAGTGGGAGTAACTATATGCACCCACGACGCTCGTTAAACTTGAGTGCCGAAGTTGCCATCCAAATGGACGATTTGTTTTTTCCTGTTCCGAGGCCCCAAGAATTATACGTGAGCGTGAAAATTTAAGGAGCCAGGCTTCGCCGAACAGATTTCAGCCGAAATTCTCATTTCAGATTTTCGCAATTTTGTTGAAGTCGGAAGTGGATGAAAAGGATGGTTTCCACTGAACTCAAAATGTCTTAAAAATAAATAATTCATTGTAAAATCGTTGTAGTGTGGAAATTATCAATTACGGATTAAACAGGTTGGAAATTTGGAAAAACTCATTGGAATAGATGGAACTAGTAAAAATCGTGGTAAATTTGAGGAAAAATTTTATTACATTAAAACTGTATTTGTTACGGAAAATTCTTCTTCATGCCAATGAAGGATCGTGTTCTCTAACAAGAGATGTTCAATTTTGAAAATTAGTTAATAAGTGGGTTTGGTTAACTATTTATAATTACATCCAATATGCTACACTGATGGATCATACAAATTCCAAACTTTTATATGATTAAGTTCCCTCTCCATTATAAGGGTTTGTCGTAACGATTCAATCATTCACCCACTATATCATTTTGCGTAATTGCTTGTAATCGGTGAGCGACAATCTCTCATAAGATCGAGTTCGCTTTTTTAGTCTTATTCTATTGTTAATTTTGGAATATTTTACTAATTTAAACACTTAATGCCTTATTCCTATGCAGATACTTTGAAGTTGGTGAGTGACAACCGTTTATAAGATCGTGTTCGCTCTGTTATCTTTGTGTTATTCTATTGTTTATTTTGGAATATTTTATCCATTTAAACACTTTATGCCTCATTTCTCTGCAGATACCTTGAAGTTGGTGAACGACAACCGCTTATAAGATCGAGTTCTCTCACTTTTTTTGTGTTATTCTATTGTTAATTTTGGAATATTTTATTCATTTAAACACTATATGTCTCATTCCTCCGCAGATACCTTGAAGTTGGTGAACGACAATTCCTACGGATCGCTCGGCGAGAACGGAGAGGGCGACTGGGACGGCATGGTTGGAGAGCTCATCAGGGAGGTGGGTTCTAGCAGACTTCAACTTTAACCATAATTCAAGCAGCTACTGCTGCAACTCAGCAAGTTGTAGATGAAGTGTCATCCATGAGTGTGACCAGTGAGCCAAAGTTTGGGTGACATCGTACCCTGTTCACGTGTCATCTTCCCTGCTCAGTAGTTAGAACCAAAGTATCTCTGGTTCATGCTTATTAAACGGTCAAGTCTTTATGTCAAATATTCATTAAATAAATACAGCAAGCGCCAACAAAAAACAACACTAGTTCATGATCACTATTGAAGTTCCTGTTCACTAATTACTATCGCTAGATACTAGTTCACATTATTAGAAAATATAATAGACAAAAATCCTGGAGGGTTGGAGACAGACGTGCAAAAAAGTGGTAGTGGCGTTCGCGAATGTATGATTTTGAAGTCATTATATATGGAAGATGAATGATCGTTTCTTTAATATAAACGTTACAAATACTATTCACGAAACTACGATATGTTAAATGAATTTTTCTTAGCTGATAAATAATTGAAAGACGGCCTAGCCTTTTAGAATTGCATTCGTTCTAAATTTAGCTCGCCCCGTATCTTTTAAACCTCAATGACGAAATACGAGTACGTCTCTGATCACCTGATGACCTTCCCTGATCACCAGGCCATTAAATCAGTCTAGATTGCGCCAATCAAGCCAGCCTGAGAATTGGACCCTGGAACGAGCTATGCTAGGTTCCCTCGATAATCCCATGACATCAATGAATTTCCCGCGATTCTCAACGATAATCCCATGACATCAAGGAATTTCCGCTGATTCCCAGTGATAATCCCGCGAATTCGTTTGATGTGCCTGCACCTCCGCAGCCCTTGACGTTCCTTAACAGAGCGCCTTTGCCTGAGCTAGGCTCTAATTTGAAACTATTGATCACCTGAATTTGCATTCGACTTGATTCAGGCAATCCGTGTTCTACAGCCGCAGACTTCTTGTTCGTCCGATGTTAGGCATCGGGGACCGATATGAGATCTACTTGCTAGATATCATTGAGATCACCTTGCGAGATATCATTCTCTAGTAGAACGCTCTATAGTAGCTCTAGTAGAACGCTCTATAGTAACTCTAGTAGAACGCTCTATAGTAACTCTAGTTCTTGCGAGATATCATTGAGATCATCTTGCGAGATATCATTGAGATAATCTTGCCAGAAATCACTGGGATCATCGTGGGATTGTAGCTGCTCTACAGCTACAATCATCGCTGCTTTGGTCCCTGCCTCATGCATAAATTTATATGTGATCACCAAACTTCCGGAATGAATTATAGTTCGCCCGTTCCACTTTTTCCTAGCATTTTATTTTACGTAATAAAGGCCCTAAATATACGTGCATATAGAATAAATTAGAAATACTTCGCGGAAACGAGACACTGGATAGTTTTCTTGTGGTTTCAATTCCTCCTCCATTAATCGTTAGTTTTTTTTTTATCGGTCGGAAATATTTAAGCTTTTCATCCATATGTCAAAAACAAAAAATATAACTCAGTACTCACTGTAGTGAGTGACAGAGAGCGCATTTTCTCGTCGACAAAAACTTGAGGTCACGGACAGACGGACAGACAGACAGACAGACGGACAGACGGACATGGCGAGCACAATAGTGCATTTTTTCCATAAATGAGAAAATGCGCTAATAAGTCGGCAGATTTGTGACATTCGCGTGATCTTAGTATTTCTTAGTTATTGAAAGATATTTCTTACAATTTATTCACTTTTTTGTAGGACTAAAGCGCGTATTAACTTTAATGTAGTACTGTACTAGAGTGCGTACCAACTTTAACGTAGTACAGATTAAACATTAACGTGTTCAATAACGAGTCAAACGAGTTCAATAACCATTCAAAAGATTTCAATAACGCGTCAAGCGAGGTCAATAACGTGTCAAACGAGTTCAGTAGCGAGTCAAACGAATTCAATATTGAGTGAAGCGAGTTCAACAACGAGTCAAACGAATCCATAACGATTTTAATAACGAGCCTTTATTCAAGAAGCCATTACAGCAGTTTTGAACGAGAACATCAAGCGCGGCAATATTCTTGTTTCCTAAAAATTTCAACTGCGAATGACGAGACACCGTGTCTCAAGGGTATTACCATGCGACCAGTTCGGAATCAGTTCACTTTTAATCACCAACTATGGTATCAAGCGCTTCACTTGGCTGCATCGATGTATGGTTTAGTTTTGTAAGCAGTTTAGTCTCTTGATGAAAAAGTCTAGTCTCTGCAAAAGGTAAATCAATGCAATAACTTCATCTCATTTGTAGCAAACAAACCTAAACGTTGTTGATGCATATAATTACGCAACAGGATGAGAATCTGCTCCTACCTCATAAAGAGACTCGCCTCGTAATATTTTGGTCTAGTAAGAAACGTTTCGGCTACTTCAGAGAGGCGGCAGTTACGATATGCCGTTTCCATTACTAATCTTGTGTTGCATCGATGAAATGCCGTTTACGTTATTAGTGTTTAACTTCAGTAGCTGAATGACGTTTTCGTTACTACAGTGAAGCTGCAGTATTGCAATACCGTTTTGCAAATAAAGTTAGATTGCAGTAACGAATTACCGTTTCCGTTACCACAGCGGGGATGAAGTAACGGATAGCCTCCCTTTGATCGGTTGTGGTCTGAAGCCTCCTGTTCTCAAAGGATATTGACGCGCCTTGGATAGCTTGAAGCTAAGCTTATATTGAAGGTCAATGTTTGGGAAGACGCTTTAGGCTAGGAGCCCTGAGGCCGTGTTAATTAGATGTTCTTCCGACCATGAGCATCGCTGCTCTCATCCTTACCTCTTCATAAGCTTGGCAGCTACCGAACCACGATAATTTTTGTGATGTTAAGTCAAGGCAAGAAGGAAAATTTTAAATGTTAGGTACGTTAGCGTTATCTCCGATATTCCGTAAAGGTAAGTAATTAGTAACGTTTTTTTAGTCGAGCCGCGCACGAAATTAAATATGTCACAAGGATCTCTTAAGACCAGCGTTAGTTACATCTTCGTAAAAACGTCATTCCCCACGAACGACTAATTTATTTTATTAAAAACTTTTTCGTTGTATTAATTTTCTCAAATTTGTGTACGATAGAGCCATCAAATTAAATTTTAATTTCATCTTTTGATTCTCAAGAATTCTGAGCAGATAATCCTATAATCAAAATATAATTCGGAGGCAGCTAGGAAAGAGATGATCATCTGAATATAACGTAACGCGTACAAACTAGATTCGACGTCAATTTTTCGGCTGAACGAATTCGTCCATAAATATAAATCATTTGATCATTTGTCGATAGGTTAATTCATGAGCATAAAGTTACCAACAATTGCCAGAAAATAAACCTTTTTTGTTAAATTGATGACTCCATTTTACGTTTCCAACAAATATTCTTCATGTCTCATTTCTCATTCAAAGACTGATGGAAGAACGGCTAAGAACTTTAATATCCATTGTAAGTTCTTCGGCTATTCTGGCTCCTTCTAATTCGGGAAGAAGCGATCCTGGTCGGACCATTTTATGGCTCACGTCTCAAACGTTCGAATGACTGAGCTCGACCAGAAAAATAGCTAACTTGTCCTTCCTAAGAAGTTTTTTAGCATGACTTGAATCGCGTCATTACGGATTGAAAGTCCCGATGTAGACCAACATCTACCATGAAGACAACATTTACTGCAGTTGTCTCTGAACTATTCAGTCGTAGGTCTTTTGGACTCTAATGCTGTGAAGAAGGGCACGCTTCTCGTCGTAAAGTTCCAATTTGCATATAGATGGAAAAAGTGTGGGCGCTATTATCGAGTCAGCCGTGACGAAAATTCTACCTTTGCCTTCTGGATTTGCGTTCTCATGCGTGTCTTCGTGACGAGTCTCTCTCGAAGCATACGTGTCATCTCTGCGTGTTATCTACATTAGATGATATAATTCATATCGAGCGAGAAGCGATTTATTGCAATTTGCTTTGATGCTGAAGTGTGCTGCAGCATTAGTTTTGGCATGAAGACAAATCTAAATTGGGGCTACTCCATTTGTTAGTAGGGCAAAATGGGGCAGCGCGCCCCCCTTTTTTAAACTAAATTTTTGATGAAGTTTTAATTGATACGAGGTGGTTCTTTGTTTTGTTTAAAGGTACAACTAATGAGGAATGAATGATGTGAATTAGACGCCTATATCTTTATTCAATTTTTAATGAAACACTGTTTTGTAAAAAGTGTCAAAATGGGACCATTGCCCCACCCCTGGGGCAATGGGCCCATGGGCTTGAGGCAAGGCGCCCACCCTTGGTCCCTCTACCACAAATGCATTTTTTTCGTTCAAAAATGAAAAAACAACACTTTACAGTTATAAATAAGAAAATGCAATAAAAAATATGACATTCACTCATTCATTAACAACTCAAAAAACCATATACTTAACTTGAAAAAATATACTCTTGTCTTGAAAAATCTATCACTGTTGTGAAGAAAAATATTTCATTGACATAAAAATATATATCCTTGCGATAAAAAATATGTCCTTGACAAGAAAAAATGTATCCTTGACTAGAAAAAAAAATTTAGTTGATCAGAAAAAAACTTCGTTCCAATTTCGTCCATAATCCAGATATTATGTGCAGAGAATTCGGACCTAATCGTGATTTCAGCCAACACCATAAAAATTCATCAACATTTGGCTCATTGGTGTTGACTGAAATCAACTTTTGGCAAGGCAAGAGTCAATAACTCGAAAAGTGGTCATAAATTCGCATAACTAGAAACTAAACCTGCTGCCTTGAGGCGGAAAATAAAAAATCATGCAATATGAAGTGTAATTTGTAATTCAAAAAGCTAGTCATAGTTTGAAAAGGTCATTGAGACAAATCTAATGATGTATAACACAAGACTTCACCATGGGCGCTTTGCCCCGTGACACGCGTGGGCCCGTTGCCCCCACTAGGTATCATTTCAATTTATATCGTGTTAACATTTTATTTTAAAAGCTAATAGTCTAAACTTGGTCTCAAAATTATCCCTATAAATATTACTTTGAAAAAATAATTCACAGTAATTTCAAAAGCTTCATCTATAGTAATCGAAAAAAAACTTTATTTAGCAGCAAAAAAATTTGTATCTGGACTAAAACAGTTATTCACAAATAACTTAAAAACGCAAACACTTAGCAAAACATAAATCCGTACACTTCATCTCAGTGAAACTGCCGAACGGCGGTAGAGAACACGGACCAATATCTGCCATACTTAGCTAGAAACCCGCTATGGGCCCGTGACCCGCAGTGGGCTCGCTGCCCCATGTTACCCTATAACACAATTATGATAACTTAGCTTATCATTAATTGTTTCCATGAATAATTAAATATTTGTACAAATAATTTCAAATAATATTATTCTAGGTTCACTTGACACAGTGTTTCTTTATATACACTGTTTGACTAAATGAGCTGAATATTCATAATTTGTCACATGGCAGCAATAAATTAATTCTGCATGTCATTCACTCCTACTGAATTTTGAGCGACGTGAATTTTTTAATTTCTTTATCAGAAAATTTATCTAATTCCAAGCAAAAATTTTTTTTTGCACGAGAAAGTACCAAATTTCTACTCATGGTAAATAATTTGCTGTCAAGTTTTCAGAAGCTCCTAGTGTTTCAGCTAACTCCTAACAAGGCCCCAGTTTCAGAATTGAAGCGTGGTTCAAGTAGCATAGCTTTCGAAAATACTAACGAAATTTAGTTAATGAAGATACGTTTCTGCTCATTATAATCGCAAGATTTTTAATGCATGATTGTGCGAGACATAATCGAGAGGCGGAGACACTAATTTTATTGGGACTGGAATTGCTACCCTAACAAAATTCAAAGTCGTAAGCGACCCGCCACTATAGGGCCGCCTAAAATTCGGGGAGCACGTAAATAAACTTCGCTTCGTAATCAACTGTCCGCTTCGGCTCAAGGGTAGAAGGGCAGCCTCTGGGCAGCTTGCTAGGTGAGTATAACTCGGCTCGGCCAACCCTTGTCATTTTCTCAAGCGACTGTAAAGTTGGAAATCAGATTCTGACCAGAAACTGATTTCGATCGGGTGGCTAACAGTTCCAGAATAACTTTGTTAGGGTATATGAGCATGGCTATTATTTTGGTGCTACCCTCAAGTCTAAGAAAATAAGAGCCATTATTTCAACAATCGCAACTTTACAGAATTATTTAAATCGGTAATTATTCATGAAAATACGACTTCACGTGATATCTGCATAGCACCCACGAAAAGAGGAAGCAGTAAATGGCTATCGTCATCTAGCAGCTTGTTTTGAAGAAAAATTGCTTAGCTTCAAATTTTCACGAATTGAAAAACAAATACTTGTTTTTAAATTGCAAATGTTCAACATAAAATTTTCAGTAATTAAATTTCATGTGATCACTAGAATTTTAACTGGGCATAATTATTCAAATAATTGCATGGAAGGTGAATTGTTGCATGAAATATATATACTGTAGGTGAAATAACTCTAATATGATAGGTGAATAATCGTGCGTGAAAAATCATGAACAGTTTCCTAATATGCGAGCTCAAGTGCATTTAATTGTTTTCGTGTCTATGAGCATATTTGGTGCATCAACCTTGCTTTAGTTTGCCAAACTTTAATGCCTTATCATCGAATCTAACGAGGAACAAAATAAACCTCAAATATTGAAAAGACTTTTGTTTTTAGAACAAAAGTTCTCTGAGGTAAAACTAAAGTCATTCACTTGATTTAAATGGCAAGAAACGGCGCAGTGAAGGTCGAGGTCGCGTGAGAATCGCACGTTATTCTTCAGTTGCCGGTGCAGCGCATTTGCTCTCCGGCCTCCCGCACGCGCTAAGCTACGTGTTTTTGTGCAAAAGCCACCACTCCCCAGTAGGCATGAAACTCCTCTTTTTCAAAAAACATAAAATTTAATGTATTATTATTACCACTAGCAACGCAACCAGCTTTCTGCATTCAGTTTAGATACTATTTTTAGCGATCATAATATAACAAATTTCGAAAATATTGTAAATCGTTTTTTTTTTTGCAGACCCCAGCTTCCTTGACAGCTACTTTCACATTTGGTGTGGATGAAAATGAGTTTCATTATTTTATATCTTGCTGACTTGCAAGACTTTTCAATACCTTTTAGGTCGTAAAACAATATGACACTTAAAAATGGCAAAATATTTATATATACTAGAATAAAACATTTACGCTTTGCTTAGGGGAGTGATAGTTTTCATTTGATACCGTTGCTTCTCTGTACAATTTGAGTTAGAACTCAAGCAATAATTTTCAAACTTATATGTTCTATTTGTGCAACTAGCTCCTCAACTTTAAAATATATGCCTGATTTTTTTCCTATTGAATTATACACTATCGCTCATAGTCGCTATTCTGGCTAGCTATTTGTAACTTTTCATCAATTTTGGGCTAGCTGTTTGTTACTCTTGATAAATTTCAAGCTAGCTGTTTGTGACTCTTGATCAATTTTGGGCCAGCTGTTTGTGACTTTTGATCGATTTCGGGCTAGATGTTTGTAACTTTTGATCAATTTCGAGCTAGCTGTTTGTGACTTTAGGATCAGCATATTTGGATCTGTTTTCTGATTCTTTTTTATCTGTCAAATCGTCAAATCTGTCAAATCTGTCTTATGGAAGTTAATGAAGCTTCGGCATCCTAGTGTAGTTCTTTGACAGGTCTCATTAGTAGGCTTGTAATTACTGCTTCTGAATTAATATACTGATTAGAATTGAAAGGTCCCATGGATCTATTTGGTGCTAGGTAGTGAAGGCAATTTTTTAACAATTTCTGCTGAGTTTTTTTAAGTATATAGGTAATTTGTATAAAAAATAAATCGATTGGTATGGCAAATTACCGAAATAAAATTCTTTTAAAATTTATTTGACTAATTCTTCTAGGAATTTTTCACCAGTTATTTGTGTACACATCATTTTGTTGACCTAATTTACTATATTTTGTTATTGTCACATATCTATAGTCCGACTGACAAATTGCCTAAGCCTCTAAATTTGTGAAAATTAAATTTTCGTCAATACCTATAGCTGTGCACTTAATCTTCAAAAATGGAAACAAAAATTGACGAAGCAAAATTTCGAAAAGTAAAAGACATGATTGCATGTAACATTAAGTGGTTATTTTGCAATGATTAAATGGTCGATACGTAATTTTTGATTGTTTTTAATTATCTAAAAGGATAATTAAACGAAAGCTATTAAATTATTAGAAATCAATGACATTCTTGTGGCATCGATAATACTAGTGTGATGATAAGTCAGAATAATTAATACAATTTGCACTTACTACATATGTATAATATTTAATTGCGTAACTATAGTTCACACATATTTACTTATTCTAGCTCGAGCGCTAGAATATATTCAACTGAATTTAAATTATTGCTATATGTTCCACACATTTGTGTCGTTTGCGGAAATAGCTTCGTTTTTGATTTAACAAAATGCCAAGATTACAACTCTGCTATCCTGGTGGATTAATTTATTGTGAACGATTTATAACCTCAGTTGGGTAAGTAATTCACTTCAATATTACTGACCCTTACATCCCATTAAAATGTACTAAAAAATATAAAATGTACATGTGTCTTCTCCTGTCTATTCATTCCAGTCCCGATCTTCTGACAACGCACGAACATATGCAGTTATGCCGCTTCTGCTGAAGCATAATTGCCTAGGAACTTTTCAGATATTTTTTCATGCCGTGCAGCTGAGGCAAATGCATTCAATAATTTCGAGTTGATGTTGCTCGGCGCAATTAATTAATTTAGACGATGGCAATTGCTCGATATTAACTTCCCTTTATCGTTCCAACTCATTTAGTCTGTTTTTTAGAATTCGTGTATTAATTTAGATTTTTCAGGAACACAAAAGAGAATTCGTATTCAATTTGTCATGATACGAGATCACATAATTTCTACAGAACAGGTTTATTAAATGCAATTGAACTCGAACATTTCCTTCATTCATATTTCGATAAATATGTTTGAATTTTTCATGCATGTTTCGCACAACATGTTTGAATGTTTCGTACATGTTTCGCACAACATGTTTGAATGTTTCTTACATGTTTCGTACAACATTCATTTTTCTGTGTACTGTCACTCTCATTTTTGCAAGAGAAAGCTTACATGCCTCTCTGTATGATGAATGAAAGTAAGTGCGAATGCTCAATCAATGACCGATTTCTGCAAGTTCAGAATATTTTTTTTTCTGCAAGTTCAGAATAGTACTTAACATCATGGGTCCCACCAATATTCAACTATGTTCACCAAGGACAACCGAATACGAAACTTTTGTAACTGTTTGAAGCTATCACTTGCATGTCATCTGATTAGAGTTGTGTTTCGATTCACTTCGGTAAAGTTTTTTTTCTGAAAATTATGATCGCGTAATGTCGTTGGATTACCACTGTCAGCGATTGGGCACTCAGTGCAAAATTCTATCATGATTTTCAGCAAACGCGTGCAAGCACCAGAGTGTCGTGACTGACACTCGACAGTCGCAAATTATTTGTGTACATCTGTTTATATTTCAAGTTTGATTCTTTCTCATACATTATTTGCACACGTGATTTAAACTGACTGGTACGTTCGTTTTTAAGTATTTCCGCCTGAACCAAACTAGTATTAGACACGTGCATTTTGACCTGTACCCATTTTCCTCCCAGGAGGCTGACATAGCCATCGCCCCCCTGACCATCACGTCGTCGAGGGAGAAAGTTATCGACTTCACTAAACCCTTCATGACCCAGGGTATCTCCATCATGATCAAGAGGCCCGTTAAGCAAAACCCCGGCGTCTTCAGCTTCATGTCGCCGCTCTCAGAGGAGATTTGGCTGTGCATTCTCTTTGCTTACGTGGGAGTTTCGATTGTGCTCTTCTTAGTCAGCCGCTTCAGTCCCTACGAGTGGCGGGTGAGTGGCTTTAGATATTGAGAGTGGCAAATGGAAGCCATTCAGGGTCTTTGAGTGGCAATTGAGTGTCTGTAGCTCCCACAATAGTCGAGAGAGTAGTTTCGATCGCTACGAGCAGTTGTGTCTGTGGTATCTTACACCGGTGAATGAGTGGCTCAGCTCCTACTTGACTCGTGCTCTGAAACGGGAATTTCCAAGCGCTGTTAAGGCGCGCTTCTTGCTAGGCGTGAATTCCTATTAGGGTGTCATGAACACTTTCGGGGCCATGATCTTTTTTAGTCGCCTATTTTATTGTGGAAAGAAGCGCTCAGTTCCTATTTTTTTTGAAAAAAAATTCTTACTACTGAACGCTGCTGCTCGCCTCCTAGTTTGCAGAGTTCCAAGATACAACCGTTAAAATCGAATAGTTCAATTTTCGATATAATTTTGCAAAATGAAATTGTTTTAAAATTATCAAGCAAATTTCTTAAATTTCTTTGATAAAACCATGAACCTTTATCTAAAAGAAATCTCTGAAACCGCCTCACGAGACGCGAGTTTTGAAAATAATGAAGCGTCGACTGAAGGACATAATGCGATCACCCAGAGTTTCTGGATGCGAGGAAAAAAAAAAAGAACTCGACGCTGTTCAGCGGTTGAACACACTTTGGTTATGATTTATCGCTGAAGAATTTCGTTCATTTAATTAACCTGTATATCGGAAAATTTATGTTGCATAATTATGATTCATTTAGTTATGATTTTTCATGATTTCGTGCTATTTTACAAAATGTTTTGATTGTAAAAAACTATCGAGACAAAGAAATCCACTGGGATTTGTTATACATTTCCGGTATACCTGAAAACTTTTATAAATGTTGAGCTTTTAAAGTTCTAACATTCTGTTTTAAAAATTTACTCCCTGAAAGCCAAGACTTAAAGTAAACAATAAGCAAAAATAATGTCTCATTTTCTACATAAAATTATTTGCGTACTTAACGTCGCAGCAAACTGCAGCTTTATAACGACACCTGAACGAAGCAAGGTTATCCTTTTCATTCCCTGGCACGGCTTTGGATTAAATTCTTTAGAAGCCAGAGAGTGGCATTGTATGCCCAATATATCAAGAAGCAGAGAGGTATGGCACTATTATGTAAACGAAGCTGCACGGCATAAAGTGCCTCGGGCTGTCTTCATCTGGAGCTCGACTGTCCGTAGTTGATGGATGAGGCTACAACAAAAGCGTGAGCTGAATTTTCTCCTTATATGACAGCTCTTTAAGATTCTCTTGGTACTCATCCTTATATATTGAGATGAACTTGAGAGGCGCTTGGCCTCTCTGATCCCAGAGAATGGGTTTACTTCACTAAGCTTCATTCTTCAAGTGCTTCCTCCCTCTTTTTACACTTTTCTCTCACTTTTATGTTTACGGCGTTCGCGGATTCAAGACACATAGACGGTTGAAGTCCAATTAAATAATTAAACGAAAATTTAAAAAATATGCAAGAACAGAGTCAACATGACTCTGGAGCACTAATTTTTTTATCTGTATTAATTCAACACTAAGGGGAAAATTTTAATATTGAGTACAATAATTATTCCTTATTCCGTAAATTAACCTGTAGAAGTTGAAGCACAGAGTGATAAAAAAATAATGACCGTTTGGTTATTTACCAGACATAATTTTCACAATTATTGCAAAGAAAAATAATAAATTTAAGTCTGCTTATCATCTGTTTTAGGAGTATTTTCATCACCTTCAAAAAGTCTTCTCCATTTCCAAACGGTTTATATAATAATATTAGAACTTCGGTGATTTGCTGCTCCGACCACCGCGATGCCAGAAGTTGCTGGCTTTTGTGAATTTGGGGCAGCGTTGAGAAAGTTATCTGCCTTTAAGGTGCGCTCATTGAAACTTTGTGAGGCATGATTAATTTTTTGTGACATTCTCCGATAATAATATGTTGTTTTCATGTTATAGAACGAATTAAGAACGCTCCATTAGTGGCTTTCATCCCAAACTATCAACTCATATTTTAAAAGGAAAATTTAATTATTAACTTTACTGGTGTATGTTTCATTGATCAATTTTAACTTACCAAATCCTCATGAATGGCCGCATATAACTATAAAGTCTCTGTCCTTCATTTCTGCAGAGCTGAGTCAAACTTACTGAGCGGAGAGAATTCCGACGATTCCCGGTCCTTGATCTCTGTAATCCGGTCGTTACATACAGCCTAAGTTTCTGAATCTTCTGCCTCGCTCGTCTTCATAAAGTCAGAGCGTGCGCCCTTCGAGTAGGACTCACGAAATGAGTGATTATACATGCTGAGAGGGAACATGCTTTTAAAATTCTCTTAACTTTTGACCTCTGAAATGGGGCTCACTGGATCCTGTGAATCGGTGTTGCAATTCTCCTAAATAAGATGGATCGACACCCGCCTCTCTGCGCGGTGCTTAAACAACAAAATATTGCATCCGATAAGTTGATATGGAGCTCTTCACTAAGAGAAGAATCATGGCGTTAAAGTGTTAGAAGAATCAGCTGTAAGGTAGCAAAAAGGAGCCTAAGGATAAGCATACAAATCTCACATTAAGGAATTTCTCCTGGGTTTTCCACGTTGCCAAATGGCAGCCGGGGAATTGCGAGATGTCTTAAATTTGCAGCTGCAGCTACGGCTTTCATTCCGCGCGCAAGATGGAGAGAGATAAGTTGCCGGGGACTAAGCAGGGAATTTCCCGCTAGAGAACGTGCCCGATATTTCCACATTCTTGTTTCTGAGCGAGAAGATTAATCGATGCATCGATCAAAAAATACATATTGACCTTACGCTTGCTTGCAAGGAGCCCAAGCAAACATGAAATATTTAACTCAGGTGTTAAGCGAGTGAATACTGAGTGGAGAGTTTAAAATTTCTTCAGTGCAATGAATCTTAATTCTTGAATGTTAAATTATAATTCACATTAATTTTTTTTATTTTCTGGCAAAATAATTGCGACTTCACTAAGCAGCTTGTCAAATTCCTTCATTCATATCAGTCTGCAGAGCGCAAAATCACGATTTAGGGCACTGTTTTTTACTGTTATTATTCAGACAGTAAATAACATAGAAAAACACGTTAATTGGGATACTGTGCATCAAGACGTGATATCAGATCTTATGATATTTGTAAGTTGCTTTGAACTATGCGATTAAAAAGTTGTTTTCGCAGAATGAATCTTATTTTATAGTCTCCAACATGTTCTTGACATTCAAGATATTGTTGGTACGAGGTAAGCATGCCTTTCATTTTATTATGCGTGGCATTAAAAAATTCAATATTTGATCTATTTCCTATTCATACCTTTAACCATTTAATTTGTTTGAGACAATCCTGATTTCCAGAAATAAAAAAAAATAAAACATATAGTCCACGTTTAATATCTTAAGTATATTTTATTGTACGTCATATGCCCACTCGTTACACATACATTGTATAACCATTCTGTCTGGATAAAATAAGCAAAATTGGAGCATAGAGTTGTGGGTTCGAAACCTGTGCAACTAGTTGCGAAAATTCTGATCGGTTGCCTGGTGGACATTCGATCAGTAATCAATTCACCATACTGTATATGAATGTATGTATATACAGTTCACCATATGTATATATACTATATATACTTTGATCACCACTCTAAACTTATGACGTATATACTTTACCATGTCCGCTTTTTGTAGTCCTCGCCACTATAAATCTACTATACATTTACATGAACATGAACATTTTTATAGCTCCTCATCGTGAGATTACATTTTCTGTTTCAGGTCGTAGAAAACTACAGCAAGAATACGGTTCGCAACGACTTCACGATCTGTAACAGCCTGTGGTTCACCCTGGGCGCCTTCATGCAACAAGGCATCGACCTGTGTCCCAAGTAAGTAGAGTTTCTCACCTCTGTAAATCATAAATATTAAATTTCCGAGAACTGCACGTAAGGATTAGAAAGTTTTATTGATTTTCGTAGTATACTTTTGTCATATGTACGTATACGGATGAACAATGTGAGAAGAAGGACTGAAGACATGCAATTAAGAGTCATCTACATAAACATCTAAATAAAAAAATACTCCAAAGAATCGTTTTTCTGGTTGCCAAATGGACCATGCCATCGCACAAAATAATCAAAATATTTTTTATTAAGGCACCAGATATTTGCATAGTAAATGTTTGTAATATTCATGAAGTTGCAAATTGATTCATGTCAAAAATTTTAAAACGATTTTAAATTTTACATTTCGAGGAGCAACATTGGGAAGGATAGTCAATAATACCGAATAGTAAGATTTCACGCCTCCACGAGCTCACTATAAAGACCAGAAAAATGTATAAAAATCATATAAAAGAACTCACTACTCATCTCTGCGTGGATTAACACCGTATAGGCATGGCCTCCCTTGGTGACCTACATGTGGACATTGGCATTCTGATCACTTATCTTTTATGTCATGTTGATGGCGATATGCAGTCATCCATGTGCACTTATCCAGAATGATGCTGCTCGAGGATGTTGTTCGTATACAAGTCTATGATATTTCAAGAACACTTGACGAATTCTTGACATTTTATCACTTTCGTAGGGAAACACGATTGCTGTTTTGACGCCCTGTGCGACTATGTTTTGAATGTCGCTACTGTGCTTTTTTACCTCATCCTGATTCCGCGTGGATCATGAATATTAATGCAGAATATATTTTGTAACCATAAAAAACGGTTTTATACTGTATACGAGTTGACATAGTAGGAAATTATTCGGCTTGAGAATTCGTTGATATATTCTGTGGGAGTTATCGCTTTAACACAATCCACCACAAGACAGCAGAAGGAATGAAGTTTTGAAGAAAATGTTTGTGGTTACCCTCATAATCTGTAGTATGTAGTACTGATCTCATACTCTAATAAAAAGGCGATGACGTCAGTATCCCGAGAAAATTTTTCAGTTTCTCCTAAGGAGCCAAGGCGTGTCGAGCCGCAAAACAACGGCATTTGCCATAAAATTCGCAGCACAACAGCATTAATAAAGAGTAAATTATAACTTCAGTTAAAAACTGAATGGAATCTGGCAACGTGAGCCTCGAAACCTCATCTAATTACACTCTCTCAATGATGAAGCTGTTCTAAATTCTAACTAAAATAAGAATACTGCCCTCGAACTGCGAAGATATTTTGTTGTAATCCATAATGAATACATCGAAACTGGAGCTCACGCCAAGTGTCATTCTGGATCCAACATTATACCTAATGAAGAATAATTATAACTCGACAAAATATTCTAATGGAAAATTACGGTGCAATTCTACGCTCGGAATACCGTGACCAGCTTTCGAGGACGCACAAGCGGGTGTTGGGGTATTAATGTAACGCCCCCCTGTGTAATTAAGTCGCTTAATTGTTATTTCATATCGCCTGGCATTGCTGCTTGCGAACTATTATTCAGCAAGAATCTGTTCCAAAACTGTGTCATCTAACTAATTTATCTGCCTTAGCATAATTGTTTTCGTATTATGATGATGTGGGCTGATGATTTACTGCACGGATTGTAAAACTACGATATATTAGAATCGGATATATTATATTAGAATCGTCGCAGCTTTTTTTGATTAATTTCACTCGTCGTTTGCTAGATCATTCTGGCTAGCTTCATGAAAGACAATAAATAATTGCGTAAAATGATACAGACATTGATGAAATATTTCTAAAATTTATTTGCGTGAATATTGTATTTTAATCTGTAACAACTTCACTGTTAGTTAAAAAAGTATAGTACTCTGAAAATTGTCCTGAATAATAAACATAAATGAATTATCGTTCAATCTATAATTGTTTACAATATTTTTTTCTTAATTTTTCATAAGCGAAGAATGATTCCTTGCCTTTCATCGTGGGTTACTGCTGTACAGTCGCATATACAACTTAATTAGACGGGTGAAGCGATCGCTTGATCGCTCACGGCTCATAAACCGCTATGAAATTATTTGAATTTTCTTTCGTTGTTAAAATAATTAGTAAATTTATTCACGTAAATAAAACCAAAAAAGTTTTTATCTCAATAGCTGGTCGTCTGAAAAGTGGTTGAAACAACAAAATATTGTTTTATTACCTTATCGTCAGTATTCGATAAAGTTCTTGGTTTTACCTAATATTATCATCAGCTATATAATTTTAATCGTTGACTTCTTCTAACTCCTCCGTTTTTCAACAACTCCTCCGTTATCTAGACCAGAATTTCATTCCATCCGCTCTTTCAACGCATTCGTCATATGTGCAGAGCAGTTGCCAGTCAAATGTTCGTCTTATTGCACACCGTTTCGTTAAAGCGCAGACCGATTGCCATCCGACAGAGAATTTCACGCAGATTCGACCATCAATTTTTAGGCAATCCTGGCGATTTCCTGCAATTTTGCTGGAGAATTTGCGAGGCCGGCGGTGAATTTTTCAGTAAAAGCTGTGATCACTGATATGTGTCCGATGGTTGTTTGTTTTCAAATAATTCGGTTCTTTTCGCCGGATATTGTTTTCATGATCTGCAAGCGAGTTGATTGCGACTGTCAAATTTTATAACATTTCTGTCAAAATATTAGAAGGTTCATGGAAGGTTAAGTTTCATTCTCTGTTTATTTCCATCGGTTTAAGATAAATAAAAAATTACGAACAGAGGAGGCTGTCAAAATTTTGTATTGTGTTTTTTTTATTATATTTATTTACTTAATTTATTATTTTTTAGGTCGCCAAATCGGTACACTCATCCCATTGTTCATTGCTTAAATTGTCATTCAGTTTTTGTTATTTAAAATAAAGTTTCTGTCAAGAATGTGCCACAGCCAATCTCGGGCGTTGCCAGGAATTCGCCTTCAATTATAATACCGGCCTGAACGCAAACTACAAACGAAAAAAAAAACATTTATTTACTACCTCATCTCCAATTCCTCAACACAAAGTCGATATCTTCAAATGCTGCCTTATTTGCACCGGAACTCTGATAGCATAAGATGCTGAACACATATTACTTAGTTATGACAGAAAAAATTACTTGCAATTACGTATCGTTCTATGAGATCGATTGATAATTCATGAAAAAATTTCTTGTGGTATTCCAGACTATATTCAAAATTACATGAAGCCCTAATATTGTTTGCTTTACTGTTTTGATTACGCTATCTTTTTTTCTTGAAGCACTTTACTATATTTTTCATTAAAAGATAAATGTATCAATTTTCAATACTATTTTAGTTAAGCGTTAATGAGCATCTAAATAACAACTTCCCTTAAGATGATTTTAGATTTAAAGAAGTGATTCAGGCGTGGTGTCTGTGAAAATGCTACTGCGGTATCTTCATAAACTGTATTGTCTTAATAATTCCTTGTTTCATGGTGCGAGTTCTCTTCTGCAAAGTTGACATTAAACCAATCAAATTACTACTCAAACTATTTCTCTCGTATCAAATTAGCAATTTGCCTGGTTCTGCTTCATACCTGCTGTTAAATTGTACTAATGACCGTCAAAATTTTGCTCACTCGTATAGTACTACAGACCATTCCTAAACTCGCCAGCCCATCCTCTGAAACCTACCTAGCGGAACAATCAATTTGCGACTTGGTTCCAATCAAATTATTTATGCTTAAATCAAACAAATTATTTATGCTTAAATTCCGAAACTATGTGCCTTATGTCATAGCTTGATTTGGTTAAAAAATTTCACGATATATATACGCTTCAATCTGAGACGTACGTCAGGGGAGATTTAGCCGATATCATCAGCAAAGCGAACCTGAATCAAAACCTTCCTGAATCACTACGTACATACATGAAAATAATAAAGCCGAAGTTATAGCTGTAGTAATGTGCACATGGGCTTTAAAATTTCAAGTCCAAAATTTTTCAGTTTCAGCCGGCTAGGAACAATAAAACTTAATTTTCGTTTCACGAGTTCATTTTACGATCTAAAATTATACAAATAAAGTATAAATATTCTTGTGTCTTACATCCAGATTGTAAGTGGAAAAGTGGACAAATTATCGCGACCTAAAGTTTTATTTCCAAGTTGTTTTGGAGCACATCTGACCATGACACGCCCGAGCAGGAGGAGGCGAGGGCATCAACGCCAGGCCGTGCCACCACACTAAGCATTTTTAAACCGTTGAAAAAACATTTTGAAACGTTGATAAACGTTTTAAACGTTGAAATAGCATTTATTAAGCGTCTTTTAAACGAAATCAACTCGTAATCATCATTGTTTCAACGTCGTTTGTCTAGAGTGACGTACACACGCCGCATCTCGGGGAAACCACTGAGATTGAAACCACTGTCAGATTGAAGATGCCTTCGGATTGATGGAATAGTTAGAGGGAAAATAAGTTATATGACGGCTCCATATTGCCTACTTTTCTTCCTTTCAGGTACTATATCTGTTTCCCGCCACTCTATCTCATTTCCGTCATCACCTGCAAATTCTATTATTTGATCACAACACTGCCCCTAAACGCTCAATCATTTCGTCCTAATGTGCAGGTCTCTGTCGGGCCGTATAGTGGGGAGTGTCTGGTGGTTCTTCACGCTCATTTTGATCTCTTCGTACACGGCAAACTTGGCTGCGTTCCTCACGGTCGAGCGCATGATCACGCCCATCAAAAGCGTCGACGACCTCGCCAAGCAAACCGAAGTCGAGTATGGCATCCGCAGCGGGGGATCCACCATGGAATTTTTTGCTGTGAGTATTTATTTATCGGTGCATAATACTCGCTTTGGGAGGCATTATTATTTTATCTTGTTTCGTTTTTCTCTAGATTAATTTATACAGCGGTGCATTCTTGAGGTATTGAAATGTTTAATGATTCACATGAGCATCATTGAGAGCAAAAAAAATGAACATAGGACATTTTAGAACTCAAACGAAACCTCTGGGGCAATAATTTTTCAACATAACAAATTTTTAATTTTAAGTGCCAAATTTATTTACCAAGAAGACGTGGCATTTGATACGAAATGAGTAATATTTATCATTTTTATTGCTACATTGGAACTTTTTGTAACGTATATTCGCTAAATTGACAGGTTTTATTTTTCATTTTTGTTGACCATGGAGCACTATGTTCTTTTAGCAAACGCTTATTATAGGTCAAGTCCCAGTTTCCACAAGACGTATTTAATTGCGATAATATCTTACACTTAACTACATAAGTGAGTCAAAAGTCATTTCGGATTACCCAGATGAGATGCTAACATTCTACGGTTAACTTTCGCTAGACAATTCTTTTCAGTGCATAAACATTTTCTCCGAAACCTTATTTAACCCTCTTCCGCCGTATGTCACTCTTCGGGAACATAACTTTCAACTTGAATTATACGTAAACTATTGAGTGTAGCAACTTGAGGAGGTTTGTACGCAATAGAGAACATTTTAAAGTTGTCGTACGTGGCGGCAACCATCAGTGCAAGTCGTTTTGCTCTCACTAGAACGTATCCTTTTTGGGAAGTAGGCGCGTGACGATATTGCTCCGGTTACTCATGTCAGGCAGTAGAGGGTTGAGTTGTACTCAATAAGACAATGCGTAGTGGGTCAAAAGACATGCTTGGGCCTAAAAGGAGACAAGCACGACCGATTTAATCTAGCTTACCTTTTTTCTACGTAAAGAGAATAATCAAATGGCACACATTGTACTCGTATATATTCATACAGTATACATGGTGTACAGTACACATGGCATGCAGCACACAGCACATCATGCATGTAATACAACTGGTGTACTGTTCACCTGCGATTGATAAAACTTTTTTTCCTCGCAAAAAGGCTTTGACAATATGATGGTATATTTTTGACGATAAGTATTGCGCCATTGACCCGTCTGCCAATTACTGACTATTTAGCTTGCCAATTACAGATACAAAATCCGAATGAGTGGTAAATGCGTACAAGGAAGAACTTGGTTCAAGCTGAACGCTGGTGCTGCAAATAGCGCTGGCTGACCCGGTACAAGGGAGAACTTGGTTCAAGCTGAACGCTGGCGCTGCAAATAGCGCTGGCTGACCCGGTACAAGGGAGNTGAAGCGCAGGCTGGTTGGTTGATATTACGATAAGAATTACCCTGTGAAGCGCAGGCTGGTTGGTTGATATTACGATAAGAATTACCCTGTGAAGCGCAGGCTGGTTGGTTGATATTACGATAAGAATTACCCTGTGAAGCGCAGGCTGGTTGGTTGATATTACGATAAGAATTACCCTGTGAAGCGCAGGCTGGTTGGTTGATATTACGATAAGAATTACCCTGTGAAGCGCAGGCTGGTTGGTTGATATTACGATAAGAATTACCCTGTGAAGCGCAGGCTGGTTGGTTGATATTACGATAAGAATTACCCTGTGAAGCGCAGGCTGGTTGGTTGATATTACGATAAGAATTACCCTGTGAAGCGCAGGCTGGTTGGTTGATATTACGATAAGAATTACCCTGTGAAGCGCAGGCTGGTTGGTTGATATTACGATAAGAATTACCCTGTGAAGCGCAGGCTGGTTGGTTGATATTACGATAAGAATTACCCTGTGAAGCGCAGGCTGGTTGGTTGATATTACGATAAGAATTACCCTGTGAAGCGCAGGCTGGTTGGTTGATATTACGATAAGAATTACCCTGTGAAGCGCAGGCTGGTTGGTTGATATTACGATAAGAATTACCCTGTGAAGCGCAGGCTGGTTGGTTGATATTACGATAAGAATTACCCTGTGAAGCGCAGGCTGGTTGGTTGATATTACGATAAGAATTACCCTGTGAAGCGCAGGCTGGTTGGTTGATATTACGATAAGAATTACCCTGTGAAGCGCAGGCTGGTTGGTTGATATTACGATAAGAATTACCCTGTGAAGCGCAGGCTGGTTGGTTGATATTACGATAAGAATTACCCTGTGAAGCGCAGGCTGGTTGGTTGATATTACGATAAGAATTACCCTGTGAAGCGCAGGCTGGTTGGTTGACATTACGATAGGAATTGCCCAGTGAAGCGCAGGCTGGTCGGTTCCTATTACGATAGGAATTACCCTGTGAAGCGCAGGTCTGCTTCAGGTGACAGCGGGCGGCGCTCCGACGCCCTGGTAACAGCGCAGCGTTCACCTCACACGGCGCAGTCGGCGGGAGGAGCGGCGGGAGGTGGCGGGGGATTTTTCAACCTATGACATTTAGAGTCTCGTCCCAAGTGCTCTGAGCACCAGCGGCTCAACACACCATTGGTTTTGCGCACCAGTGGCTGCATGCATCTGCGGCTCTACGTGCCAATAGCTGCGTGCACCATTGGTTTTGCGCACCAGTGGCTTCATGCACCAGCGGTTGCGTGCACCAGTGCCTTCATGCACCAGTGGCTGCGTGCACCAGCGGCAACACGAACCAAGGGTCTGCGTGTGTGTACGAACTTTTTTCCGAACCAAGTTCCTCAAATCAGCGCTTGTGCGCACTCTGCGAACCAATAATTTTTATTCACAAACCGAGCTTGAACAGGTCATTTGCGTATAGTAGAAGCTTTATTCCTGGTGGTTTTGCCGACCAGAAGCTCCCACTTGAGTTGTACAACGAACCTGCTGTGAATTTCTGAATTGCTTTCACAACTTTTCTGTATTTGACACAAAGCTTTATATAATTAACATCTATACCATGCGCTTAGAAGCTTTGTGCATCAATTTTAAAGCAAATTAAATTCTTTCAGAAACTTGTTTTGCACACTTATCATTGGCTATGTCATATTGCTTGTAAAATGATTTGTAGTGCTTTTGATATTTCCCTTCATTGCAAACTGCAATACGAACGCTTGTGTCTCCCTGAATTCCTTTAAAATAATTATAATTTTGGCTGCCGCCGTTAACGTCCTATATTATACAAAAAAAAAATAAAAATCTGCTTGTCAGTTGCCACAAAGTTTCACTACAAATTATCATAAGAAATATGAAATATTCGAAATCGATTGAAGAAAATATAATCTTTTAAATTACTCACGGCTATTTCTATGTTACAATCCCGAAACTGAAATTCTTACCATTCCTGAACATCCATCTGATTAAAAAATTTTGATTATTTCTGAGTGAAAGCGTCAAATATTAAATGAATGCTCAGTTATGGAATCCAACCTATGGGTGCAGGAATTTCTTTTATAGACTGCGCCCAAATTTCCGGCTTGCCATAGAAAGTAAGTCGCATAATACACTCCAATTGTTGTCCAGAGAATTATTCGCCACGCAAGATTCTAAAGAACTCAAGACCGCTTCCGGAGATCGTTCTTCCTTTGCCTCGCGTAAATTGCAGACAGGCAATCGTGGCATGACACAGCTATTTGTTTGTGCAAGATCTTGGCCATCGGTGCGCTGGGTAAGCAGTTCTGACTGGCATTAGCCTTCCGGTTTTGCATTTGCAGAACCTATAGGCGGGTGTTGTCATTTTATAGCTCGCGTTGCAGCAAAGACACCGCAGTTGTCGTTACTCCTCGATCTTCTCCTATTGCTGCGCTTGCGAGAAGCGACGATAGCTCTTCTCTCTGTTTCATTTTCTCGGAACGAGAGCGCGCCTCGGATCGAGGGCCGAATGCCCAAATTCTTTCTGGAAGCGACCGCGTACTCGCTGGAAGCAATTTCCCCTGAAAAAATTTTCATTTCGACTCGGTAGGAATTCTTTACTTTTTTCCTACTCGCCATCAGTGAATCAATTCACCGACAAATTTCTATTATTTAAATGCTAATTATTGGTATCAATTACTTGAATTAGGCATGTGCGAGCTTATGCGGTGTTAAATTTAACGTCGCGATGTTAAAATTCAAAATCAAGTGTTGTGAACACTTCTTATTTTTGATCGGAATTTACTAACTTGTTGTTCTTGTCTGGACACGTTTTGAGAAGTCGAGAAGGGGCTTGCGTGGCTCAGAGTAGGAAACTTTAGGAGCGGCGGTTGTCTGCTACAGATTACTTGCATCGATCTTTTGCGCCAGATATTCCGAGAAGCGAATGGTGCAACAAATTTACGACCTACTCGAAGAGAATATACGAAATTTCGAATAATTTTTCAGAAATTGTGGCTCCATAATTTGAACAAAAAATTGTTTATCATTAATTTTTGTGTTTATCTTACTACTATACGAATAATTTTGTTTCGAAACTAATTATGATCGATCTAATGAATATTTGTCTCATAAATAATTAACAATTAAATTACCGCAGAAGATGTTCGAAGTTTCAAACCTATATGATATATCGAATGGGTTGTCAATAACTTCAGAAATTTATGTTGCAGGTCTCGAAATGTCTTAAGCAATTTGTTTTCGCATGCAGTATTATCTTTAGTCGGCAAAAAATCAATTTCTTTGTTTAATTAATTTTTTCGGTTTTCCACATGAAGTTGTGCTAAGGGCAAGTTTTAAGTTAATGACATTTTCCTATAGAGTTTATTGACCTTTCTGCAGAACGAAAGCGTTCGAAACTTGAATTTATTCATGCGCGGTTTTATACGCGTCAACCTCGACTTGCCGTGGTAATTTTCAATCCTAAATTTGTACTTTTTGATCATTGCAGAGGTCGAAAATCCCAGTGTACAACCGCATGTGGGAGTTCATGACGAGCAGAAAGCACGTCTTCACAGACACTTACCAGGAAGGCATCGAGAGAGTGCGCTCTTCCAAAGGCAAATACGCATTCCTTTTAGAAAGCGTGCGTAACGACTACACCAACGAGCAGCTACCCTGCGACACCATGAAGATTGGCCAGAACCTCAACACGAATGGCTATGGCGTGGCTACACCTAGAGGATCGCCTATCAAGTTAGTTTGCAAGATTAACTTTTTGATTTTTCTTTGGTGCGAAGTTACTTTGTGAGACAATCTATAATTTTTTAATGATGCCTTCGTAACTTCTGTGAATTCAATTGTTAAATGTGCAGTCTACATCCCGTAATGACTGCACTTCAGTGCTCAGAAATTAGCATTGGTATAACAACGATCATGGAGAATGCCAACTAAAATAATTTATTGATGGGTTGCACAGTGAACTAGAGTGAGGTTAAAATGCAACTAGTTTTGTGACGCTGAAAATGTGAGGCTAAAATGCAGCTAAATTTCATGCTAGCGATCAACATTTTCCCAGGCTTTAGCGCGAGTCCATCCATGATTGGATACGTTGTTCGATTTCCTGCGTTTGAAAAACAATAATGGTTGAGGATTAGAATTTCTATTAACGAAAGGACGTAATAAATCCAGTCTATAAAGAGCACGTAATCAATTCAGTCTATAAAGAATTAAACGTAAAATCTAGTCTATAGAAAGAACGTAATCAATCCAGTCTAAAACAAATACTCCAAACGAACATGCGACAAATTTATCTAACCCAATCACCATCTCGAATGTATCCAATAAAATGTTCCTACATAACATATATTTATGTTATCACCGAGCAACCTCACGATCTAACATCTTTTCGAGATATTAGTTTAAGAGACACGAATAAGCTAATTAAAATGTTTCGTCTATGAATCAAGTCTAACACCAAACTCCGCAAATTAATGAATGTATTCACGGAAAAAATTATTGAATGAAGGTTGTTAGCTATAATTCATAAATATATACGATGAGTAACAAGTCATTGTAAGCGTCTTGTCATGAGGGAATTTGGGGGATGAAGCGGCACGTAGTGAAAAAATTCCAATAAAATGTTTACAACTATGAATAAATTGATGAAACGCGTTAATAAAGGAGAAATAACTTCTTCGATTAAATATTAGGAATTAACGTACGAGGATGCTTTTTAATCACATCGGGAATTTAACCAAAAATATATTTATTAAAATTTCATTTGAAAAATATAAGAGCTGCACAACAAACAATGAACAATCTTTACAGAATCGAATAAGAAATATGACTAGTTCAATATTATTTCATAAATATCGATGGTAATCACAGAATAATTATGTGAGTCAAAATGTCGGATCAGTGAAGTGACACATTCATTCGTATAATAGTACCATTAATTTTTGCCTTCTGTACCTGTGATTTGTTATTATAATTAAAAAATGTTTAATGTGTAATTTACTGGATAAGAATGAGATGGACATCTTCCCCAAGCTCTCCTGACAGCAGCAGCGCAAAGGCTTATCGCTTGCAGAGCGCGGCTCGTTGCCTCGCTTTGTGCTCACCAACCTAACCTGTCACGAGATCCTAACTGCTCGAGGCCAGCCTCATGTTCACATCCTATGGTATCCTCCTCCTCGAGACCAGCCTCGTGTTCACATCCTATGGTATCCTCCTCCTCGAGACCAGCCTCGTGTTCACATCCTATGGTATCCCTGTCTCTTATACACATCTAGATGTGTATAAGAGACAGAGTCAGAACTTGGTTCAAGCTGAACGCTGGCGCTGCAAATAGCGCTGGCTGACCCGGTACATGGGAGAACTTGGTTCAAGCTGAACGCTGGTGCTGCAAATAGCGCTGGCTGACCCGGTACTAGGGAGAACTTGGTTCAAGCTGAACGCTCTTTCCTACCGATGCCGCTCACGGACTGCCTCAGCTTGTTCGCTTCAACGATATTGATTCCAACTTCTAAATTTACGGCACGGCGAGTATAGAGCCTGTGTGGAACCACTAATGTAAAATGGTATTAAAACCGTGGCCTGTTTATCATAATTTATATTAAAATACCGGAAATATGACCTACTAAAAAAGTCAAGAGATTTAACTCTTCAAAATAAGTCTTGGGTGGTATATAAATGTTATCAAAAGCAGCATACAAAGGCATATCACTCGTCAATACGTTGAACGAGTAGAACAATTTAAGTAATATAATACGATATTCAAAAATAATCTACATAATTCGTTGTTTAATTGAATAGTTTGAATTAAGAGCTTCATAGACATAAAAATGATTGTAGCTCAGTTTGCTATACCTGCTAACCATATCCTTTGAAAAAAAATGCAAATTGCATTTCACTACATTAACCTCGTGACGATCAAAATGAATTTCAAATGCAATCACCTGGTATTCCATAATTTCCTAGTTATATTAAATAAATAACGACCTCGATAAAAGTTAATTGAGCAATGGTCCACAGTTATATTAATAAATAACAATCTCGATAAAAAATAATTGAGTAATTGTAGTAATGCCAGCATCAGAGTCACTGTCGTACTTGGGTGCAGCGTAGCTCCAACCCTCGGTCTACGGAAACATTAACCGTCGTTAATGTAATTACCAACCAGGCAAATGACGGTCAAATAACGCTTAATTAACGTTGATTCAACGTCAGAAGCCTGATGCGTCCCATCTGCAGGTCTAGTAACGAGTGATATCAGTAAATAGAAAAAGCAAAAACGGTTGCGGATGCCCCTATATAATTGGAATGTGGGTATGGGAAAAGTTTGCGAGCGTTCGGCGACGAGCCGCCATAAAACAGCTGTTAGAATGTAATTCTCGTAATTCAAACGCAGTTGTTAGGGGCACTAACGAGTTAACTGGGTGCTTAAATAGCGCCCGAGTGCGTGCTGTTAGTCATGAAACATAATTCAAAGTTGCATTATATCTGCCCATTTATCGCGTTGTGAGGTGCGAGGATGAACTTATCTAAGAGGAGAATTAACTGAAGTATGAACACTGATCAAGTATCTTCGAATACACTTAAATGACTGAAGAATCCGGCCAAAGCTCCTACCTGGTATCTTGACTGCTACATTCGGGAAACTGAATTATGAAATCACGAGACTGGGCTCGAATTTTGAGGCATAATTCCTTCTGTAAATATTAAGAAAATTACTTCTGTAAATTTTAAGAAATAATTCCGTAATTGGAGAGGAATTTTTGTACAAAGGAAGATATTTTGCCGGCAGATGCTCAAGATCATTTCTATCCGTTCTAACTCAACTCAACCTTATTGATGCTCCATCGTGTTCTTTCGATTTCTCAATTATTTCGCTTCACTTTTTCCGTGAACCAATCAGTGATTGTATAAAATTTTAGGAGTACGGATGCTTCACAAGATAATGGATTGTTGTGTATCGAAATTTTGTTTTCAAAGTATTCAAACTACTGAAGACACTTGTCGGTTTTCATTTGGCAGTTTATTTTTACCTCCAAAGTAGTAATAAAGGATCTTAATTTTTACATAATAAATTCCTACTTTTCAAACAAGATTTCGTGTATGACGTCAACTTCGTTGAAATTTATAAGAAAGATGGCGGAGGCTGCGCCGCTAAATACGGTGTCTTCTGAAGTGCCTGTGCATTTGCGCCTGCCAGTCAATAGAATGTAAATTTCACGCGATTCCCGTAGGTGTGTGACAAAAATAACTAGGTTGAATAAGTAAAAGCCTTTAATTAATTATATGTGTATCCTCTAGAACAGTTTATTTCAATAAATAGAGCATGAACGAGGCCCCAATCAAGTTTGATTAGCACTTCCATAAGATACGAGTTCATTGATTATGAAGGCGACATCGCTGGTGTTGAATAAATCAGACTCGAGAGTAATGGCTGTTTATTTGATATATCGATAGGAAATACCCTACGAAGCACAGGCTGGTTGGTTGATATTACGATAGGAAATACCCTACGAAGCACAAGCTGGTTGGTTGATATTAGGATAGGAATTACCCTGTGAAGCGCAGGCTGGTTGGTTGATATTAGGATAGCAATTACCCTGTGAAGCACAAACTGGTTGGTTGATATTACGATAGGAATTACCCTGTGAAGCGCAGGCTGGTTGGTTGATATTACGATAGCAATTACCCTGTGAAGCGCAGGCTGGTTGGTTGATATTACGATAAGAATTACACTGTGAAGCGCAGGCTGGTTGGTTGATATTACGATAAGAATTACCCTGTGAAGCGCAGGCTGGTTGGTTGATATTACGATAAGAATTACCCTGTGAAGCGCAGGCTGGTTGGTTGACATTACGATAGGAATTGCCCAGTGAAGCGCAGGCTGGTCGGTTCCTATTACGATAGGAATTACCCTGTGAAGCGCAGGTCTGCTTCAGGTGACAGCGGGCGGCGCTCCGACGCCCTGGTAACAGCGCAGCGTTCACCTCACACGGCGCAGTCGGCGGGAGGAGCGGCGGGAGGTGGCGGGGGATTTTTCAACCTATGACATTTAGAGTCTCGTCCCAAGTGCTCTGAGCACCAGCGGCTCAACACNGTTCACATCCTATGGTATCCTCCTCCTCGAGACCAGCCTCGTGTTCACATCCTATGGTATCCTCCTCCTCGAGACCAGCCTCGTGTTCACATCCTATGGTATCCTCCTCCTCGAGACCAGCCTCGTGTTCACATCCTATGGTATCCTCCTCCTCGAGACCAGCCTCGTGTTCACATCCTATTATATCCTCCTCCTCGAGACCAGCCTCGTGTTCACATCCTATGGTATCCTCCTCCTCGAGACCAGCCTCATGTTCACATCATATGGTATCCTCCTCCTCGAAACTAGCCTCATGTTCGCATCATATGGTATCCTTCTCCTCGAAACTAGCCTCATGTTCACATCATATGGTTTCCTTCTCCTCGAAACTAGCCTCATGTTCACATCCTATGGTATCCTCCTCCTCGAAACTAGCCTCATGTTCACATCCTATGGTATCCTCCTCCTCGAGACCAGCTTCGGTCATGTTTACATCCTATGGTATCCTATAAATTTTATTCATCCACATAACAAATAATCGGCATGGTTCTCGTATACCCTGGGTACTTCATGTCATATTCTCTTCCATGTCCATGGATTTACCAAAGAGCTTACTTATTCACTCAACCATATTGATGACACTGTTTTCGTATACTATACAGTATGTCCCATTGAGCACCTGCTGCTTATTCTTATGGCTGTGCTGACATGGATCGTTCAATAAGCTAATGTCGTCTCTCAGGGACAGACTGAACCTCGCTATTTTGGACGCCATCGAGAACGGTGATCTGGCCAACATTAAGAACAAATGGTGGTTCGACCGCTCGCAATGCACGGATTTACAAACGGTCAGTGATTACATCCTCTCCACACCGAAACACTTGAAACACTTCAATGGAGCGATCATGATCTCGAGATAAATTCTGCTCCAAGTGTTGTCCATAGTTTGGACATTTTCAATTCTTGGACGTGCAAAACTTTTGACAGAGAATTGTTCGCAACCTGTTTACTTTGCGCTGTCGTGTGCCTGTTCACTATGATGAACAAATAAAATGATGGAAGTGCCGATTATACTAGCCGGTCTTCTCTAATATTTGAAATCATTTCATAAAAATATCCCAGGCTTTCTCCATTTTCCAAATCAAATTCCAACATTGAATATTTCTGTACCATCTAAAACACCGCATATGCATTCATTCCTTTGCTCAATTTATTTTTTCATTATGCCTTTTTTTCAAATCATATACAGAAACATAAATACTTTAAACGACGATTGTTTACTCGCTCTAAATTTTTGCTAACAGCAAACGCTGTATTTTAATATTAATCTTTTTTTCAAATTGTTTACAATAACACCTTTGCTCTGCTTTTTTATACATTTTTTTCGTTTTGATTCCCACTGATACATAACTTTTTCCTGTAATTCCCATAATAAACCAAGAAAACCAGTAATTTTAAGTCAGCGATCCAAATCACACTACTTCTTATTGATTATTCCCCCTTCTTTCCCCTCAGGAAGCCCAAACGAATGCGCTAACGCTGAGCAAAGTGGCTGGCATATTCTACATCCTAGCTGGGGGTCTGGTCGTCGCCATGGTTGTGGCACTCGGAGAATTTTGCTACAAGTCTCGAGCGGACGCAACGCGAGCGAAGGTTTGTGCGATGTTGACACGCTCTGAAAGCCTGCACTGCCGAGAAGAAGCATGTACTTTCTGCTGAATCTGGTGTGCGTCTCTATATATGAGCAAACTTCCAATAATTTGAGTCTTGGAAATTCATTTCCAGTTGGAAGTGACAGTCCTCTTTCAAAATTATGAAATACGTAGTACTGAGTTTCTCGATGTGAATCACTGGAAAAATATTTATTTTGCCAACTTCCTCTCAATGATGTATAGTGTTTGGTGAGACGTATCAAAGACTTTATTCAGTTGACTTATCTTAATCCTAATGAAAGATTTCATTAGACCTTTTGCCGATACACCCCAAACCCTGACCGTTTGCCAATACATAAAGCTCTGTATCGACAAACATGAATATTCTAATATAATTCGAACTGAGCTGCATATCAGAGAGCAGAAAAAGAACAGATTCTATTCAAAAAAGTATCAACGCTCGCAAACTGTACTGAAGAAAAGCTAATTCTCACGAGCATGCTAATTAACATTCAATATTAAATTCCAAGTAAGCTTCGGTAATGATGACATCATAACTTTCGAGACGGCAATAGCAAGTTCTCGAAATTCTTAATTTTTTAGATTCGTTGTGAACAAATTCTGTTTGGTACTTTTGAGCTCTTGAGCTGTTGAAGTATGTGTCGCTACTATTCTGCGACGCTGTGAAACTTACACGAAGCTTTTACTTTAGCGTTAATATCTTGAGTTTCATATTGGGATCAGTGTGGATATAATTGCACTAATATGTCCCAATAATTATCAGATGGCAATGCATCATAATTATCTAATATCAATGCAGAAATGGCATTAGTTAGATTTGCCTATATAGTTATCAGAATCCCGATAAAAAAATTTAAATCGATACGACACATTTATTCCCAGTTTTACACACACTGATGGAAAGTAAATACACGGATCCTAATTTCCGATTCACTCGAGTTAGGCCAAAATTCATCATTATATAAGCTGAAAGTCGCTATTCCCAGTACGCCATTGCAATGCAGTTATCACATCATATGGCTTAAAAATTTTAAAGTAAAACAAAGTATATTTTAATTTATAGATACGAATTCATATGCAATTCAATCCCACTTCAATTTAACTCCTGCAGACCAAAAATAAAATAGATTTATTTTTACTTCACGAGCATCATTTCTTTTCCTAATTTGTACGAATGCCATTAAATTCTTTTTGCGCCGAATCCGTTCAAATATTTTCATAATTTCTAATCATTTTCTAACCCATCAAATTGCTCGTTGTTAGCTCTTACCTATTGAGGCAATGGCTCTTTTATGCCATACCTTGACGCTTAATCAACGTTGATTGCGAGTTGATTTAATTGAATCAACGTTTATTCAACGTTATTTAAACGCAAGATGCCCAGAGGGGTATAAAGCATCTCCCAGCGTCCCAGAGACCTAAACAAATATATGAATCTGACCAGGCAGGCTCGAGCGTCTTCCAAATGATTGCATCCTGAATCGGTGCTTATCGAGCCTCGCTTCGAAGTGAACGGAAAGGCTGAGTTTCTCAGATGCCCATACAGACGAGCTCTAGAAGACCTTCATAGGCTCATAACGAGGGACTTGTCTTACAAGAAATGATAGCAGGCACACGTTTCACTTGGGAAAATTGATGGGACATTTTGTCCAAATAATGACGCAGTTTCTTACCTACTTAACAAGCAGAGATTTGACGTGAGATGATGCGCCCTTTTGCAGTTTGAGACAAACTGGGTCAAGAAGAGCCACTCAAGGTTAAAAGTGAATCGATATTGTAAAAAAGTATCACGCATTTCTCTGGGTGTAGAAAATCATGCTGATAGTCACCTACTTACCACCGGTAAATGCATCAAGTTTCCGCAAACTTCCGTTTTTTTGTATTTGATTGGCGAATTATTTTTTCGTTTTCAATTATATTGTTTAGAGCTAGCCATACTGATAACAGAGAATTTAAATAGAGTTTCTACTGCATGGTAATATGAACAACCTTATTCGGTCTTTTCAGTAATATTTATACAGTAATATTTTACTGTTTAAACGAATAGCATTTATTAATCATCTTATTTTCATTTTTATACGAATCTCATTTAAGAAACGCAATAAACTTATATGGTTACTTGAATGCCAGTCAATCTGGATGGTATAAGTGTTATTGGGATCCTTAATATTAATATACCCTAAATATTATTATGAAAACTACCAAAAAGGTATTTGAAATTCTAAGTTTTGACCGCGAATTGGACTTCGTTGATTTCCTTGACCATATCCTTCCTGCGCATCAGCGCATAACGCTAGAAGAAAATTTCGGATAAGCTCTTTTCGCTTCTTTTATTGTGAATAAAAAGTCAGGTCACGGGTGTCTGCGAACTAAAATATATTTATGACGAATATTTTCATTAATTTATTAGCTCAACTTGATCTTTCACTCGAAAATTTTCGTGATAAATTGTTTATTGGTTACATGTTTGCGTATTTTATCGGCTTTATTCATTTATATGAATATTTCGCTTGTATCGTGTTTTCAATCTTATGTTTAACTTATTTTGTGAATAAATCTGGTCGTCTTATTATACAGTCAATCTAGATTTTTGCGGTCGTGAGATTTTTTCGGATTTTTTTTGTCGATAACCCATGTCATGCTTCTATTTTACAGATGTTTACATGAATTCTCTATTTCGCTCATTCCCTTATAACCATTTGTTTAAAGTGCTTATATCTCTGTTTATCGCAAATTAAGTTTGATTGCTCCTGATTTCTTATCGTATGTTTAGTTTGTCAAAATGTATGAATTAGATTTCCAAGACTCGAGTTAAAAACTTAATTGTACCTATAGATAATAATAATAATAATACAAATAATCATAATAATAGAAATAATAATTTAATAATTATAATGGCAATAATAATAGTAATAGGAATAAAACTTATTATAACAATAATAATATTAATAATAATAGCTCACATTTCGCACAGCCACAAGAATGTGTTTTGCTTCACTCGTGCCTATCTTCCCCCGGCAGCTGAGTTTGTCGGACGCTATGAAAGCCAAAGCGAAGATGTCGATAACGGGCGCCAAGGACATGGACAACGGCAGGGTGAGTGTGTGCCGCCACACGCGACCTCATCATTTCTCGCCCCCACTCTGAGAAATAAGTGGAACTTTGTCTAAATAACAACGCATTTTTTGCCCTGTTGCAAGTCATTCTTACCCCGTTAGTACCTGTAAAATTATGTATCAGAGCCTCGTGTAGAAAGTGTATCATTGTTTAGATAGTATGACCCAATCATTTCTCCGTGTGACTGTGCCGTTTTACCAGGCATGTCGTGCTGTGGAATCTTGCTATGAATTGATACGGGCTGTAACGGTTATCGGTGGAGCAGTAATGTGCTATGTAAAGCACATAAGAAACATTGATATAAGCTGTATTGTTTTTTTTATAACCATTATATCAGCAGCCAAATCTATTGGGCTCTTCACAAGATAGGAGTATTTTTCTTACCGATAATTTTACGTTTTTGTAATAGTAGTGAAAATTTCATGTTCTTAATTAAAAATATAATATAACTTTTCATTCTCCACTGTTTTGCCTCATATGATTGTCTCTAGGTCTAACAATTATAGCAATATTATTTCATTGTCATTTTTGATTATCTATTGATTAAGTCGGTAGTTAAATGACACTAGTCAATTAAATTTGAATGAAAGATTTTCTAGATTTCAAGCAGTTAAATTTTCTTTTGATTTAGCGTATGGCTGTGAGCGATATTTAGTTTTCACAAGCTGCAGTCGTTACATTTTAACCGTAAAGTCTTATTAACTTGCAATCACTAATCACTTTTACGCGACAGTGATTATCTTTAGTTTTTTTTTTTGTCATATTTAATTGGTCCTTGAATTCACCTATGGGGGAAATTAATCTGTATTTCTAAATTTCACATACATGGAAAATGGTCAACGAGAATAAATCGAAGTTGGGTAATTTTGAACCAAGGCCAAGACTTATGACCCACTGAACTACGTGTGTGCTGTGGCGAAGATGCTGCGAAGCATCACTGTTTCCTGAGATTATTTAACATTAATAAATTAGTCGATCGATTTATTAATGTTAATGACGATATTTATTCTACCGCGCAGAAAAATTTGTTTATAGCCATCATACGTACACTTAACGCTCAAATGATCAACTCATTACATTTAATTTTTTTTCGCCATACCTTCAATCGATGCCTAGAAATTATACAACAAAAATACTGATGATGAACTATCTATAATTGTTAACAGATTAAAATAAATGTTTTCAAAATTTTAGCTGCGTTTTTGAAACTTAAAATTTAAACTCGATGGATTTCATGGTAAATTTCTCCAATTTCATATTTACTTTACCTTTTGTTTCAGGATGTGGAAATAACATTTGTTTTTGGATGTGAGTTACCTTAACACCACCATTAAGATAAATGAAATCATTACTCTATTCACTTTTCGTTTACTTAATCCATCCTTCTACTCCCTTGTAATTCTTGATACAAGCTTTATAAAAACAATTATTCCGAAACTATTCTAAATGATATTTAAAGTCTAGCTTACTTCCACGAAGTATAATGGACTTATATTATTTTTTCTTTTCCAATTTGCCAGTACTACAGACCAGCCACCCAGAGTCCCGGCAATGGCCACAATCTGGCGAACAACACGCACACTCAAGTCTGACAAACATCTTCTAACGAATCCCTCAACACGTCCCATCTTAAACATGATTCAATTGAAACCTTCTTCCTTGCCCCCATTGAATTGAACACAAACATTCCATCAAATTTAATCTTCTATAATCATAATACAATAGACACACCAGTACCGGATTTGAATGCCTCCTGCACCGTAGCTATTTCAACATTACGTCCTCATTCACCGTCATTCATGACAACCATTTTTCCAGTTTCACCTTCAAGATCAACTCCCCCCACTACCTTCTCTCCACCGCCATTAGCCTCTCCCAAACGATCGAATTCTTCTTGTCATAAAACTGGAGTTGATCTTGTAAGACACGAATCAATTGACAGAGACATTCGTCCAGAATTTCCGCCTCAACCAATCTCCCAAGAAAGTGAAGAAATTTCGACCCTGAGTACGCGCTTTTCTTCACAGGGACCGCCATCGGGATCAGCCTCAAACAGCAACGCTTCTTCCACGCAGGCTGGCCACTGCCAGGCCTACGCTGCTGCAGCCGCGGCCGCTTCCACATCTTCATCACAATCGGTAGGAACTCTCTACTCCCACCATCACCCTCACCACCAACTCCACCAACTGCATCACCATCATCAGTTGCAGCATCACCACCCTCATCAACACCTGGGCTCTTGTCTTTCCCCTACTCCTCCGGTGGTGCCACCGAACTCTGTCACCGCGTCGAGCCAAGGATACGTGATCCCTCTAAGGACCTCTCAAGGATCGGGGTCCATGTCCCCGCAACAAATGTCCTACGCATCGCCATCTGCACAGACCGTCACCTCTGGGGTCGTGCAGACAACACCCTTATCCCCCAACACCCCCACTGCACATAACTGTGCAGATCTCCCTTTCTAGATCTTCGTACTATTTGCAAATGTTATGTTCATGGTATAGTATATAGTACCTAAAGCGAGTAGTACATGCGGTGACATGGTGGGTATCGCATGGTGTGTCATGATGCATATAATAATCTTTCTATGTATCTTAACTGTATTGCCGCTAATTCGAGTGCCGAAATATGTGAACCGAAATTTATGGGGTATTTCAAATAGTTTTCTTTACTAGGTTTTACCGCAGGCATTGATCATCGGAATTTTCAATTGCCAATTTATAATCAATTATGGCCTCTTCCATATCATTTCTACTGTTTAATGTGTTGTCAACTTGACAATTTTATCTCGTCTAAATTTTGTTTTTATTTTTATTTATGTAATTTACATGTATCCTATTTATATTAGAGACAAATATTCAGAAATTCTCACTTCAGCAGAGTTTCTGCGAATTATTTCCCCTTTGCAAACAATGGACCTCAGTTCCAAAAATTAAATTAAAGAACCCCGGAGTCACCGGGGGTCACCTATGACTCATTCAATTGCAAAATAACTGAAAGGCTTTTTGATTGCAATTATTATTTATAACTATGGGTCAATCTTTTTTTGCGGTATGATTTTTGGAGGTGATTGCTTTTAGAAACAGGACTGTTTTAACTCATCGGCTAAATAAAACGATTAAATGAGATGAAACACTTGGAACATGACATAATCTCGATGTAAATGTATAAACGTGTTTGAATGTATTCACTGCATATAAATATGAGTTAGCTATAAGCCAATAGAGAAGACAAAGCCATTGTTATACGCTTTCCTGAATATAAGCTCTCCTATATCTTGTCTCTTGACGTTTTCTTATCTTGGTATTTGTGGTGTTTTCGTGTCGTGTGTCGAAGAGATGAAGCTCAAACTCTTAAGCTTGAGGTTCGATGAATTATTTGAATAGATTTAATGTGTCATTTAGCTTTTGCCTTCTTTGTTTGTTATCGATATTAAATTCCATTATCATCCAAAGTTATGCCGAGTAATTTAAGGAGTGCTAGATCATGCTAACGAACAGAGTCTTTTGTGTGTTATTTGTAGATTATTAAATTCAATTCCAATTCATCAACCTCTGGTGATGGTCAAATTATTTGTTCATTTTTAAGATAAATTTTTAGACAAGAGGTTATCATAATAAAAAAAATTAGGATTCTCAAATGTATACGAGATGACTACATTTATTTATAAAGTGACTGGAATAGAAATTTTTCCTTGCTCGGTTTGAAAAATATAGTTGGTCTCATTAGCCTTTGCAGAAAATAGTTTTTTACTAACACTCAACCGGATAGCACTTTCTGGGGCGAAATAGAAATTTTTTGTCTTCCTGAATTTATATTTACACATGTTAAGACCCCTCAGGAATACTTGAATTCTATATTTATTAACAACCAAATTCTGTATGATGAAGGTAAGCTTTGCCATAAAAGTTTCTACACTTCCATTTCGACCAAAAACCATTCTCTGCTAATGAAGGCTGAGGTCGCGTGTTTTGGCTTAACATCGGATCACAAGTTCCTCACTTCAGCCGTCGAGCAAAATATCTACATCTGCCTCGTGTATTGACAAACTTGAGGAGTAGAGCAGGCCATTGTCTTGTGAGGAACATTGAAGCGAGAGCAACCATTATCTGCACCGCACATCATTTTGTCCATGTTCGCTGTATCTTTGATGTTGCGTTCCCAGTTCTTTAGCATCGTAGACCAAAGCGGGTTCCTTTGTGGTCGTGCTCTGGTGTATGTCTTAATTGTGCGGCGACTAAGTAAGACTGACGAGGAAAATTTATTCGGTGCACCGAAGACGTGAAAGAATCCATTGCCTGCTGTGCGTAGAGTGATGCAGATAAGACGTAATGATTACTGGGACCTGTGACGTGTTGGCTGCTGTGACGTGCACCGCGTTGGCTGCTGTGGCGTGCACCGCGTTGGCTGCTGTGACGTGCACCGCGTTGGCTGCTGTGACGTGCACCGCGTTGGCTGCTATGACGTGCACCGCGTTGGCTGCTGTGACGTGCACCGTGTTGGCTGCAGTGACGTGCACCGCGTTGGCTGCTGTGACGTGCACCGTGTTGGCTGCTGTGACGTGCACCGCGTTGGCTGCTGTGACGTGTTGGCTGCTGTGACGTGCACCGCGTTGGCTGCTGTGACGTGTTGGCTGCTGTGACGTGCACCGCGTTGGCTGCTGTGACGTGCACCGCGTTGGCTGCCGTCACAAAGTTCACATCAGCCGCAGAAACGCTCGCTTCAATTTTTGGAGATTGGATGTTGAGATATCTGTGACCAAACTGACAGCATCCCGATTCATGAAGGGAAAAACCGTCCGTAGAGTTCGTATTTGTTGACATCAATTAAATTTCGAATTGTGTAAATAATAATATGGTGTATAAAACAATATCTTTCGCCGGGTCTGTTATTAGTAATGCACCAAAATTAGTTTCACTGGACCTAAATTATCATTTTTATGGATTAATCCTCTTTAATATCAATATTAGCGTCATTTTTTCTAGTCCGTGTCTTTTATGTTACCTCTGAAGGGCTATCTAGAGTTTGCAAGGCCAAATTGTGTTATTCTTCATGACGAATAATATTAATGGTGATTTCTTTAGTGTTGTAGGAGCTTTTTAGCTCTCCTTTATGTGTACGAAATGTTGAGTTTAGCTCCTTGTTTGTGTAATCCTCTAATACACAAAACAATATCTGTGTAATAAAGTAATTTGTGTAATAATTGTGTAATAATTTTGTATTCTCAATTAAAATAGCAGATCGAAATGAATCGCAACCATGATTTTGACATTTTCTTCACACACTCGCCCATTATACTCAATCATTCAATGTCTAATTTTTCTTTTATCTATGTCTTTTCAACTGTAGAATTGTTATAAGATTTAATCTAGCAAAAATACGACTATTAATATTCTACGAAATACACCTTCGTTACTTCAAATTTCTTATTACAAATGAGAAAATAATCACGTGCAACAACCACTTTATTCGTTACAACGATGACGTTCTTACACGAGTGTTTAGATGACTTTGAAAAGTTGTGTTCCGAAATTCGGCTAATTACTTTTAGCATAGAATGGTTTGACTTACGGGTTAGCATCCATTAACAAACTCTTGGCATTTCTCATCTCACAGGAAAGTGATTTTGCATAGTTGAGAGGTTTACTTCTTGAAGTGTACATGTTTAATGTTTATCATTCTGTTCTAGCCCCTAATATTGCTCTATGACGTGTTGCCGATAGTTTGTAAGGAACTTGTATAGCTCAGGATAATATTTGTCCAATGTGCATAGAGTAAATAGTTTTTTAAATACGTTTGTACGTTTCATACGGAGGTGCCACTCAGACACTGGTTATAAATGTTCAGGTGAGAACAAGTCGAAGATATTCCAGGGTATGTCGAATGTTTTCTCATTTCTCCCTCACTTCTTGTTTTTCATGTGCTACATAGACTTATGCTAATGACATCCTTTACTTTACACTCTATCAGATTCATGGCCCAAGATCATCGTCTCTAATCTGCATCAAAAAATTATTCATTCAAGTTGCAAATCAATGTTAGTTTATTAGTTCAAGATGCGAGAAAACATTGCACTATTGCGCTTAAAATGTTTGTCAAATAATATTTCTTTCATTCATTATGGTTCAAATATTCTTAATTTATTGGTGGAACCTCGAGCCGATTCCTGTTGATTCCCCTCAGTCAAATAATAATATTATTTTGGTTCTGAAAAATGTTAATTAATTTCGGCTAAAGTCCCATAACTGCAGTCCCTTCAAAGCACGAGTTCACTCTGATAATTGGCCTCTATTTTTCCACGCTGTTTCAAAATCCAGGCGATTCCTACGAAAAACACTCGCTTTTTATAGAGCAATCGCCGGGCAGCCGACTGTTGACCCTCGGTTAGTATGGCCTGGTCCCACCAAAAAAACTTTTCCTTTGCAAAAAAAAAATTAAAAAATAAAATACATGGAAAAAAACGGAAAAATTGCCGGGATCGGTCTGGATGAAACGAGGGTGTACAGCGCTCTGCACTCGCCTCCATCACTGAACCGAGGCTCAAAACATGAAACGAGCCACTTTTTTTTTTTTTGGCCGTACCATCTCGCCTAACGTACCAGCTGGCTCTCCAAACTCCAGGTCCATCAGGCCAACATAATATCACCGCAGTGAGGTAAACATTTCGCTATATAGGTGAGGTTTGGGGTATATAAGCTTTTTTCTGTACATGTCACCTAAATCTGTTGAACTTTTTGTGAGAGTTCTGTAAAAAAATTTTAAAATAATTAATTAATGAGAAAAAACAGGAATAGTAGCAAGCGACTTCTACATTTATTCTAAGAGAGTAAACGAAATTTAGCAGGAATTTACAAAAAAAAAAATAAAACACCAAGCAAATTCGCCATATCGATTTTAAAAACGTTTCGGGGTCCAGCTCCATCGTCAGTTGGACAATCTAAAAATGAATACAATTAAATAATTAAACATTATAAAAAAGTTATGCTACTAAATTAAAGTTCAATTAAAGTTATGCTACTGGTACGCTCGAATAAAAAGTTCATCTTTATGATCGGGAACGAAATTTTATTTCACTGGCAGGAAGTTATTTCCGCAATGATAAAATGATTTCAATATTTATTCCGTCTTATCTCGTGCTGTCATTATTCAGAAAACTAAAAAAACGAAAAACCCTCATCTACTTTAGCTTTCCAAATCCATCTCCAAACTTTACTTTCAGCTTCCAAGTCATTAAGTTGTCATTTACGAGTTGTGCTGTTATGGTTTGGAACTTTGAGCTCTACATGGGGTCACTTTTGAACGCTGCTGGTGTGCGTTTAGAGTTTATGTACAGAAACATGTGTAGTTGTTGTACATAATTTTCGCAACTGATGTAACAGTTGTTTAATAATGCATCAAAAGCCACGTTGTTGTGAACACTATGAAAGGTTTACGTTAAGCGTAAGAGTCTAAAAATTTGTAAATAGATTTAAAATAGAGTTGTGTCCACTCAACGATCTTTTATTTGCCTTCTGATGTGATTAATGCTTTTGTTGGCAGATGTTTTTCATACTCTATTTTCAGACTCATTAGATCGTTTCAATTTCAATCTGCCATGAGAGGTCATTACACGTTCTGTTGATGATGTCAACGCATCTCTAAAAAACAAAGGGAATGTAAGGCCCACAAAAAGCATCAACTTGTACGCAAATGTCATTATGGCAAAAAAATATCCGACTTTCCATTATCATGAGAACATTAATACTGTCGTTTAATATCTAATGTCTCGACGACATAATTAGAATCATTCAACTGTGTTCTCAAAACGCATTGGCAAAATTTTAATAATCATGACTCTAGAAGATGCTCTTAAGGTCAGATTTTTAAACAAGTTAGCGTTTCATAGGCCCAATGATAAGTCGAAATGAAGATTTGAAACAAACCCGTCACTGCAGGTGGAAGTTAGAAATTATTAACTATTGATTGAAGGGACCAAAAACGTCTGCAAATGAGTTGTCTAAGAAGCTTATCATTCAGATATTTTTATTTGAGGCTCATTTGAAACATTTCATCAAATATTCTTGATGACAGCGACTTAACCAGTGATACTTTCGTATCTTGGTGGTATTGAACACACGGCGTCTCTAGCCGATATACTCGTAATTCCCCCTTTAATAAAATAACTGAGAATTAGTTTCTGTTGTGACATTTTCTATAATATACAATATTATCTTAAATCACATTATATTACATAATATTATATTATATAAATAGTTGTCGACAGCCCAAGTTGGCCTAATCAGGGTTGTTATTAGTATATTATTGTTGTTATAGTTATTATATTATTCAATTGTTGGTGACGTATGTTTTCATGTTGTGCTAAATCCTCCCGGATTTTAATTTGTTCTCCATTGCGTCAATTGTTTAGGAAAATCTCCTCTTACGTTTAAGTCTCGGTGATTTGTGTGTGGCTTCTCTTCATTAATAATCCAGATCCCGCAATAATATTGTAATGGGTCGTACCGATCACACTCTCTTCATTAATAATCCAGATCCCGCAATAATATTGTAATGGGTAGTACCGATCACACTCTGTCTCTTATACACATCTAGATGTGTATAAGAGACAGACTCCACACACACCCAACTCTCCACGCACACCCAACTCTCCACACACACCCAACTCTCCACACACACCCAACTCTCCATACACACCTGCAGCTCTTCACACACACCCAACTCTCCACGCACACCCAACTCTCCACACGACTCTGGTCCTGGAACTTAGGTCGTACGTTAGTTCTAGTACAATTCCAATTGTTATTTTCGGAACCGTTGGAGAAAAATTTTTTGTGGAAAAATTATAATTGAAAGGCAATGCAGTTATTATTAATAAAAAATTTATACAAGCGATAGTTATTATTACCATCGTGGATGAAAAAATTGCTAACTCTTTTTGGATTTTACTGGCCTCCCTCGATAATTTCTGGGGATGAAAAAACGATAGTAACTCCCCCAGGATTTACATTTACCTCTTCAAATATTTTTTCGTGCTCGGCAGATATCGATACGATCAAACAATTTATCTATAAATACACAGAATTTTCAGCTTTTAAATTATTTGTAACTGAAGTTTTTTATTGCTTAAAACTTTTTTTTCACTTACATTGATATGATTGTTAAAATTGAATGTTGAAATTCAGTGCCAACGAAACAAAGATTAATAGGTAAAAAAACTACAATAACGAATGCTTTAAAATCTTGATTTTTGTTTTAGTTATTGCATAAAATCCAGATCGACGAGAAGGGAATTTCCGAATACAAATAATATTTTGCAAAGCTTCCTACGTAATACTAAAAATGAAATACCATCTGCCAATTTGCTCGGGGGTTTGGGGAAGCGCTGCTTCTGCTTTGTTTTGTATTAAGTGAGAATTCCGTTCGTTCCTAAATCCTGGCGAGCGGTTCAATCCTTTGTCCAGTAAAAGACTACGTGGCTTTGGCACGGCTAAAAATAGAGCATTTCACTGGCACTCCAAGGCCGGAAAGTTAATCAATTTTCCGCCACTTATTTTCCGCCATTTTCAATTCTTTGAAGCGTGATGAAAATTTCCTGAAACTTCATGTAAGTGGCTCAAAAAAATATACGTTTTCACATAAATGGGCTGGTTTTAATCAATATTTATTCTTCATCATCAAAATTATGATAACTTACGTTACAATTTGGATGAAGGTTTCTTTTTATTTTCTAATACACCTAAGATTAATTAAATAAGTAATGAGTCATACGTTAACTTTTAGAAAAGTTATTAAAATATGAATGAAATTAGAAATGAATTGAAATAATGGACGCATTCCTTAGCATTTAAAAAATGATTCAGTATATACCACTTCTTTCGTTATCGGGAAGTTGATAGGCCTTACAGTAGTTTTCTCTTGTATTTTTTCAGTCTTTCGTAATTTCAGTGGGAATTGTTTGGTGGCCCGAAAATATTTACATTTTTGTTTGTATAAATATTCACCGTAAGAATGCGTTGAATCACCAATGAATGAAGACTACTGGCATGTCAATTCATGTGCAGTTACCAAATTTTTGCCCGAAAAATGCGTTTAAAAACATACAAATTATGGTTTACTTTATGACTTTAATTTTCTTATTGCCATTGATTTTACTTGTCATCGAATAAAAATGAAACAGACTCTCACCAAAATAGCAGAAAATGAACCATGTCTCTAAACTAAAAACTCTGAAAATACAACAACCAACTAATGTTGCTAATGTTTCTAGTTAACTTTCCACTGGTCTGTAAATTTAGCATTTAAAAAATTATTGTGAGTCATCCTAAATTTACTCCTAATTTAATTTCTGGTTTAATTTTTGTTCATTTATTTCTGATTTCACACTAAATGACTCCCCTGCCGTTCATTAAAAGCGTATTCGATAGGATAGTTCACTTTTAAATAATTTTTGTTCATTATATTCGCTTAATAGAAGAAAGAATTTTTTTTACAGAATTAATGATTACATTTCTTTATTTTTCGTATGACACAGTTCCTTATATCTGCCAGCGTTATATAGTGAACTATGGTGAAATGATATGCCTAACAGGACGATTTTGGATGAGCCATTGTATATGTGTAAATTGTGGGTGCAATTTTGCCGAATACAGACGACCTCACTACAGATATTGATGAAGCTATCACAATTGAGTTTAATTTCTGTGCTAAATTATTTACGATATGTGCCATAGAAAAATCTTGTTTCTTAAGGCTTCAATGTTGTTCTCCCTCAAATGGCAATGATTTAAAGCATTTTGGTATGTTGACAACATTCTCTCGCTAATGTAGCCAGGTTTACCGAACAATCAATCAACAGCAGCCAGCTCTGTCCTCCCTGTATACGTGCCTGGAACCAAACGTACGAGGTCTTAATCACATAATTAAATATCAATATCATCCTGCAGCAGCGATGTGATACCAGTTATTGATAGCGAGACACCTGCCGACACATGACAGATGCTGGCCTTGTTCGCCCTCATCCAGTGTATGGGAACCATCGCATTCAGGTTTCTGCTCGTCTGTCTAATGAGCAAACAGCAGCGTGCATAGCGAGCTCAGCTGTGAATCAATTGCAGGCTCCATCGTCGAGAGAAAAAAGCTCCGAATCTTCGTTCATTCCTAGCAGAAGATAGCGTCCTCGCGAAGAATGACACGAATACATCGATGAGCACCTGCGTAGAGCCTTGCCTCTTGGGTGCAAGGTTCAGTTACATTTTTGTATAGGTTATTGTATCTAATGATGAGGAAGGAAATGATGTACAAGGAGCATTAAAAAATATAACTCAGGACTCACTGTAGTGAGTGACAGAGAGCGCATTTTCTCGTCGACGAAAACGTGGAGTCATGGACAGACGAACAGACTGACAGACGAACAGACAGACGGACATGGCGAGCACAATAGTGCATTTTTTCATAAATGAGAAAATGCGCTAAAAATAACAATCCATTGTGGATATTTTATTTGATACCATTAAATGGTATTGCCGCGTTTTTACCTTCTCGCATTAACACCTTCATCACTCATCTTGTAACCAACCACCTACACCACCGAAAATCCTGACACCTACCACTACTTTCACCTTACCAGCACTTCACCACACCATAAGACAATGGTTGAAATTGACGCCAGTGCACCTCTGCGGCTCCACCAACTTCACCACTCTGTGCGTCACCTCTTATAACGTCTCCTGCCGGTGGGTGGTGTGATGATGAGGGTGGTGGGATGATGGAATGATGCGTGGGAAGACGTGGTGGTGCTACGGGTGGTATGATGGTGCTAAGGATTGTGTAGTGGTAGTGGTGGTGGTGTAGGTGTAGCGGTGGTATGGGTGGTGATGCGAGGCGTAGGGTAATGTGGTGGCGCTGTGGCGTGGGAGTGATGTGATGGTAAGGGTGGTGACGAGGGACGTGGATGTTGGAGCTAG